AGTGATCTGCTGCTTTGCCTTTCTGATATTCAACTTGAAGCTTGAACCCCAATATCAGTTCCTGGGTCTTTTTATTTTTTGTGTGTTATACCATCTCCAGAGAGTGATAATATTGGGTTTTCTGTAGTCTTAACAGAGAGACTCTATGCACATAAAGGTAATGTGAATATTTGTGTGAGTACAGTGAAGGATATAACACACATATATCCTTCACGAGAATTTCACATTTCCTACACGAACCAGGACATTAGACACACTACTGCACATTTCATTTTTTCCAGTCACATCTCAGATACCTTCCACAGCTATACACAAAAATCCTTCTCATTCTTCTCTATAGCAAATATTCCATTTGAGTAAAAATCAAGTCTTTAATTTACAAGTTCTCTATAGATAAACATCTTTTTTTTTCATCTTTTATCACTCCAAAGGATGCTATAATAACCTGTGTCTACATTTGTTGTTGTTGTTGTTGTTTTATTTTTTGAAACAGGGATTCTCTGTGGGACAGTCTTGGCTATCCTGGAACTTAATTTGTAAACCAGAGTGGCCTCCAACTCACTGAAATCCTGCCTCTGCCTCCCAAGTGCTGAGACTAAAGGTGTGCAGGCTGCCACCACCATCCAGCTGTGTCTACATTCTTAAACAGGAATAAACCTATAGAACAGACTGTGCAAAGAAATGGGCCAATAAAAAATATGTTCTAATTCTGATGGACATGAGCAGAGCAATGGTTCTTAACCTGTGGGTCATGACCCCTTCGGGGATGAATGACCCCTTCATAAAGATTGCATACCAGATGTCCTGTGTCTCAGATATTTACATTACGATCCCTAACAGTAGCAAAATTATAGCTATGAAATAGCAACAAAATAACATGAACATGAGGAACTGTATTAAAGTTGCAGCATGAGGACGGTTGAGAACCAGTGCTGTAGAGTGAGGCATAGATGTGCTCTGTGCACCTGTACCAACACAGTGACTCATTTCCATTTCTCTTTATCAGTCAAGCTGTGCAAATTTCATATATTAAGAATCACTGCTCATAGCATCTTTTTTTCAAGTAGCTTGATGTACACAGGGGAAAAAATGAGAAGATATTTTTATTTCATTTTTTAAGTTTAAAATGCAAGAACTGCTGGTAAAACAACTTCCAACTGGATTCAGATAGGCAGGAAGTAAAAAGAGCAAAGAAAAACATAAGTTTATTTCCAGAAGTATAGTGTGGGAAGATGGAATGCTGTTTGAGAGAGAAACAGGAAAAAACAAATATAAACATATCCCTTTAGGTTTCTCAACTTTAAACCACTATGAAGAAGGAAAAGCCCATTTTTCAATAATGCAGACTTCAATTGGCCAGTCAAATATAAGCTAATTCTCCAAGTATTTCTAGAGAAAACAGTACAGGTTTTACAAATTAGATGACAGTAGGGAAAGCAGTATTTTCTTCTAATGAATACATATTTATCTTTGTATGGTCATAAAAATTTAATCTATCAGACTAGAAATATCATGTATAACATTAAGACTGAAATAAAAAATGTAAATAGTAATCAGATAATAATGAAATAAGGTATTCTTCAATGTGACAAGATTATTGCCATGGTTCCTAACTGGCCAAAATCTTGGAAACAATACATGGATGAGAAGAACTGGAAACTCCAGAGTAATAATGTATAATTAATGACCTTGAGAGCAAAGCAAGGCACAAAACAGAAGCCTTCTTCAAATAATTTACATTTGACCAATTTTTTATTTCTTTGTTTTGTTTTGTTTTGTTTTTCAAGACAAGGTTTCTCTGTGTAGCCTTGGCTGTCCTGGAACTCACTCTGTAGACCAGGCTGGTCTTGAATCACAAGAGATCCACCTGCCTCTGCCTCCTGAACACTAAGATTAAAGGTGTGAGCCACCACATATGGCTCTTGACTATTTTCAAAATATGATTTTCTTCTCGGGTTACTGAGTGTGGCTCAGACATTCTGATCAAGCTACACATTTGAGCTTACTGTTATGGTGTTTTGGTGTTTTCTTTACAAGAAAGCCAGAAAGCAGGTTTTCCCCAAAGTATGTGAGTATTAGGTCAAGGTTTCTTTAGAACTCATTAAGACTTCCCCTTCACTAAACAGCTACAGAAATAATTATCTAAGCTTTCTTTTTTTCCAGAGCAGGGGATCCAAAAGTAGGTGATGTGGTTACACTTGAGAGGCTTAAAGGAAAGCACAGTAACTCAGTTATGTTTCAATCAAATCAGCGACCATAAAGTCCAATTTCTCTTCAGCATTTAAGAGTGGGACTGAGTGGCTCCTCAACCATCTTTCAGAATACACACATGTATTATGCTGCATGAACTAATATAAGACATGATGGCCAACTACCAACATTCTAAAAACACAATATTTGTGTATTATGCTGTATGAACTCAAGTATGACATGATAACCAGCTATCAACATTAAAAACCACATTTTAAAAGCCACAGTCAAACAAATTACTAGCATGTTGATATCAGGATAAGAACTTAAAACTTAAAAATTAAACATGAAAAGTCTTTTTAGCATTAACTTCCACCACTCTGTACCATCCAACAGGGAGTTACCAAATTTCAAATCCTAATAAACTTAACATGAAACAATCACAGATACTGACCACTTCCATCATGGCACAGGAACATACTGTGCTGCTCTTAGACCTACATTAGAACTGTAAACAAGCACACCTATTTCCAGTCCTCAACATCAAATGCTTGATCATAATATATACATCAAGCTAAGTTCCTGCTGAGAACATAATAAACACTGCCCTTGATTTTCCCCCAGAGCTCTGTAGACTTAAGAAAAAAAAAAAAAAAAAAAAAAAGACCTGCCTTTATGTGATGAAATATGTATTCCTTAGAGAGTTTCATGATATAAGAAATGATTTCTCTCTCCTCCGGGGACTGAAGAACCCAGGTGCCCCATATTAAAAAAAAAAAAAAAAAAAAAAAAAAAAACTATTAAAAACAATCACAGTCCCTAAGACACTAAGAACACCACAACCACTAGAGACTTTCGCTTACACAAACATAAACCCTTCCTTTTACCATAACTTCAGCAATGAATACAAAAGCTACATGTTAAAAAACAAGTTCTTGTTAGTTAGTCTGGATGCTGACAAACTCCTGAAGAATACGGTACACTGAAATACTCAAACCCTCAATTCAATAACAAATGAATAGCTGTTCATTTTCCCTGCTGTTTTCTAAGAGATGATAAAAAAACATCTTTCCCTTTCATCCTTTCTTAGAATCTCTACTGCTAATTCAGCTAATTTTCTATTACTCCCAAGTCTATAAAACTCTGGTCCAAGCAGCATTCTCACTGAGCTTTGCAGCCACGGCTTGAGTCCAGGCCGGAGTTTCTCTCAAAGGCAGCATTTCTGACATCCAAAGCAGACATTCATGGCAAGGGCTAGTCTGTGCACTGTAGGACATTTTAGCAGCATGTACTATGTACCGTTGTCATTGTGACCATTGCCTCCAGTTCTGAAAACCAAATTGTTCCCAGATATTGCCAGATGTCTCCTGGGATATCAAATTGATCCTGGTTGAACTTACAAATATTGGTATATACAGGGGACAGGTGTTTATGATATATGTATCTCATACCTCTATAAGGGCTTATTTGCTTAACCTTTATAATCTTTCAGAAAGTATGCTTAGAATTTTTTTCCCTTTTCTTTTTTGGTGATGCTAGGGTCTAACCCAGACCTCACATATCGACTCCACCACTGAGCTACAGCCTACCCCTATTAGAATTTCTATTACCAAAATATCAAATATATTACCATAATATCAAAACAAACAAACAAAAACCAATGTGGGCTAGTAGCAGCACCATGCAATGGGAGATACTTAGGATACCTGTAGAAAAGCCACTAGGTTGAAAGGTACGTTCAGGAATGCCTCTGCAGCAGCTCTGGTAATTTAGCTGAGCAAAACCATATTTTAATCTCATCCTAGACAGCTGCTTTGTACAGAGGGCATCTTGGGCTTCGTATCAATCAAGTACTTTAGTCACAGTGGCTCACACAATCCTCGCAGCAGTGCTGTGAGACACAGGTACTTTCAGTGACCACATCTTACAAAAGAGGAAAACTCAGACATGTTTAAAGTTAAGCCACTTGTCCAAGGTCACTAAGATTGAGAACCCACACTCCAACCAAGCACCTAGGATCCACAGCGGTGCCTCAGTCACTAGTACAGTATGATGATGTATACTTTCAGATCTGGAAAACCAGGTACTTGTTACTTAGTGTAGCCCGAGCTCTTCCCCTCTAGAGTATCCTTTTAGTTGCACGCCCCTGCGATGATCACAAAGCTGAAAGGTGACAGCTTGGTAGACTGTCCCTAATGTTTTTGGACACTTGAGTAAATTCACACGAAGGAACTTGTGTGGCCTGAAATTCAGACACTGGCCCAACAGGAGGCTGGGTGTCAGAGGAGAGAGATCTCCAAAAATTTCTACTGCAGCCTCTGGTTCCTGCCTTTGCTCCGACTACGATGCTCCTTCAAGACCTCAAAGCCTCCCAATTCTGTCTGCTCTCCATCGCTGCCACTCTGAAGGATGCAGGGGACCGCGGCTGGGCGCGGGGGCCTACGGGCAGAGGCTAGGACAACGCGGGGCTCGTACAGAGGAAGGCGGACGCCCAGGAAGACGCCGGCAGGAGCGCGCCAAGAGGCGAGCGAGCCTGGGGGACAGAGGCGGGATCGCGCGGGTAGCCCGGGGCCAGCTGAGGTGGGACATGGACCCCGACTGACACCAAAGAGGTGCGGCGGAAGGAGCGGGACTGCCAACCCGTCTGATCTGAGAAAGGAAGCGGGGCGGGAACCAGGACGTTTCGAAACGGAGTAGAAAATGACCTCGAGCACAGCCGTGGTCCCGGTGGTGGTAGGGATACGGGTCGTCCGAGTTACGCGGCCGCGAGCCGAGCGGCACCCACCACCAGCACCCCGGTCTCTGCGTACCTGAGACGGCCGCCTGATTCCCCTCCACTCCCTGTCGGTCCCCGACGCCGCCCGCCGACCCTCGAAGAGCCGCGGGGCTCCAGAAGGCCGGCCCCTCAGCCGCCTGCCGGTCGGACATCTGCAGCCCGCGCGGGGAGCTCCTCCGCAGCTAGCTGCTTGCGGCTCCGGAAACAGCCGAAGGAGAAGCGAGCGCGGCAGCCGAGAGCCGAGCGGAGCCGAGCAGAGCCCAGGGCCGGAAGGAGCGGCGAGACAGCGTGGGGGGAGCTGCCGGAGCTCTGGCCAGTGGAAGCTGGCGACGTGGACGCGCGCGGGGGCGGGGAGGGAAGGGGGGTTACTATGTGCTTTTGATCGCCTGATTTTACGGTCGGCACTTGCAAGGCTCGACCAAAATCTCGGGAAGAGTCAGCAAGACATCGCCGGAAATCGTGGTATCCATAGAGACGCTGTCGGAAGTTGAGGTTGCTAGGAGGCCTTGGGCGCGACAACTGACTGCGTAATGGCTGAAGTCCCAGAAGATTATGATTCTGACCCAGATGAAAATGAGAAGCTGGAGCCTAACACAACTGATTCTCTTAGGTCTCAAGAATTGCGTAATGCTAAATCAGACACCGTGGCAGAGGTAACCCCTGAGCAGCAACCAAAGATTAACCAAGAGCCAGAGGAACTAAAGGCTAAGGAAGATGTCTTTGAAGAGGGGAAGCCAGGGAGTGCAGAAAACATACTGCTAGAGCCAGCCAGGACGCCCAAAGGAATTCCCAGGGAGACCCACAAGAACCTACCCAGTCAAGCTGAAGCAGAGATAACGCACGCGTTGACGTTAGAGACATCTGCCGCAGCAGGGGGAGAGGATTTGGAGGTTACGGGGGATGAAAAACATGAGCCAGACCTACAACTACCAGACATTTCAGTAGATGTTCTTACAGAAACACCTCCAGACACAAACACACAGCTATCAACAGAAAGCAAGGCTCCAGAGGCAACGCGAATTAAGACAATAACAGAGCTACCAGAAAAGAAGGTTCCAGAGCAGGAGGGAGATACAGAAACCGGTCCAGAGCAAAACACACCAGATTTTCTAAGTGGCAAGCCACAAAAATCGGTTGAAGAGGAAAATCCAGCCCCATCAAACATGACCGAGTTAGAAATTACAGAGAAGACACAAGGAGAGTCAACCAAAGAGCCATCTAAGGTGACTAAGCCAGAGTTTCCAGGCCAGATGCTAAGAAAATCTACTGAGGAAGCAGCTACTAAGCCTCCAGAAGGGGTTCGAGTAAAGCCCACTGAGCAACCTCAGCAGGCTATGCCAGAATCCCCAGACAAGAAACCAAGACAGCCGATTGAAAAGAAAGTTCCAGCGCCACTGGAAGAACTCAAACTGGAGCTTTCTGAGGAAGAATCAAGAAAACAAACGGAAAAAGCAAGTCTAGAGCTATCAGAAAAGGTGTCAAAGGAAACACAAAAAAGCTCTGTTAAGGAAAAGATCCCAGAGAAACTGGGAGAGGCTTCTCTGGGACTACAAAAAGAGATAAAACCAGATGTTCAAGGGAAGACACAAGAAAAACCAGTTGAGGAGAAAGTTCCAGAACCATCAGAGGACAGGAAACCAACAGGTCAAAAAGAAAAGCCGAGAAAATCAAGTGAGAAGTCTAAATCAAAGGGAATGCTAGTGGAGCCCGGAAAGGAAAAGGGTGCAGTGCTCCAAGGACAGGCTGAAGCAGAATGGCCTAAGAAGAAACTAAAAAAATCTAATGAAGAAACAGGTCAAATGCCACCACACATAACCAAACCAGAAGTTCAAGAGAAGTCACAGCCAGACCCAACCTCGGAGCTGGAGCTATCAGATGAACCCACACCAAGCGAGACAGCTACAGAACTTCCCAAGGAACACAGGCCAGAACCAAGCAAGTTTAAGTATCCTGTGGACAATGATGAGATGGTATTCCCTGGATACCACAAAAAGATGCCAGAAAAAGAAACTAGCAAGACTAAAAATGAGTTTATGGTAGGGTCTCCCAGAGAAAGTGTTGAGTCGACTGCTACAGATGATGAATCTCAGGAACTCCTCAAAGAGAATCAAGTCGATATCTGTGAAGAATTTACAATCTTTCCTAGTTCAGAGTCTGGGATGGAATTGAGAGATTCAGTTAGTGAAAAGAAAGTCGTACTTTTACCCCAGGGGTTGGAGAAGATGGAGCATAAAGAATCCAAGATCATCAAAAGTGTTAGACCACGATTTGAACACCTTCAGTGGAGCCCAGAAAAGGTTGCAGAGTGGATTGGCGAGCTAGGCTTCCCTCAATACAAGGTATATGAAAACAATGTTTCTTTGAAGTCACAGCCTCCAACCCCATTTTCTCCTCTCTACTGACATGCTCTCTTGCCTCTTTTTCATTTGAAATAGAGACTTCCTGGGCTGTGGGGGAAGTAAATGTGTGTTTTTCTATCTTGTGTGTGTGGTGGTGAAGACTGAACTCAATACATTAGCACATATTAAACATACATGTTTAGCCTATAACTGATATATATGTGTACATATATATATACATACACACATATGTATTGTATTTTAGAAGAAAATGTTATATTTGATTTTCCTATTCATCACAATTATCATTCTCTTCATTCCTTGCATAAAGGTAAAAAGGTGTGTGAAGTCCTCTTTTTGTAGAAATCTATATTTTTAATACATTTAGGCAAAATCAGGCCTTCCTGCACTTTTGTCAAGATGTCTCAGTGGCAACTCTCTTAGCCTGGATTTGTACCATTAACCTTACCTGTCTGCCCAAATATGTCACATGTATCATGAGCACTTGAGTACTAATGCATGTTAATCTGTCAACCTAAATTGCCTTTATCAAAAACAGTATGCTCTTCTTAATTTATTGATGCCAACTATGGCATTAGGTTGCCACAAAGCACAAGATCGGAAACCGTTTGTACTTAAAAATGCCCTTGAGTCTGAGCATGGTGGCTCAAGTCCTTAACCCTGGCACTAAGGAGACAGGAGACAGGCGGATCACCATGGGTTGGAGGCCAGACTGAGTTACACACTGAATTCCAGTTCAGCCTGAGCTAAAGAGTGACCCCTTTCCTTAGTTTTGTCCCCTCACCCCCCCCAAAAAAAAAGTCACAGGAAGAAAAATTAGTCACAGCATGCAAAAGCAGGTGGAAGCCAAGGCGTTAAATTTAACCCCACACTTTCATTATTTAAGAAATAAATAAGAGGGTTTTGCTCCTCTTTTCTCCCCATTGCAGTAACGCACATGTCAGTGCTGTTCTTGTACCGACAGGAGTGTTTTACTGAAAACTTCATCAGTGGTCAAAAACTCATCTATGTAAACTGCTGCAACCTGCCTCAGATGGGGATAACCGATTTTGAAGACATGAAGGTGAGCTGTGCGTTAGGGTAGCTGTCCCGAACCATCCTTGTTACCCTGTTTTGGTCCACGGTGTCATCATACTCTCATCCCTCAGACTTACAGTGGTTGCTTCCTCCCTCTGTTTTGACAAAGGTAAGAACTGTCACTTCCTCCCGTGTCACTGACACTGTCTGGTTTTCTCCATTGCTGCTCCCCAGACTTTCACTGCCTGTACCTAGAACACCGCAATGGCTTCCTGCCTTCCCACTTTTAGCCTTTCTTGGGGAGCCTGCTGGACTCAAGGGGCTCTAGGTTTTTAGGTGCTTGGTTTCCCACAAATTACACACTGTTAAGAAGTCCTCTCTTGGTGCGAAATAGTCCCAACTCTTGGTTTAGGGTTCCAAGTCCTTCGTAAGTTTGCTCCAGCTCCCATCTCTCCAGGCTGTTGTTACTTGCGGCATGAGTCTTCTCCTGACTGCCAGGTCCCACTCACAGCCTCCTGCCTGCTAGTGCATGTCCCCTTCTGTGTCTTTGCTCAGTTCCCTTGTGTTATGGACATGAACGTGATTGTCCCTTAGAACCAGTTCCTCCTAGTCTCCTAAGAAGCTGTCCTTGACCTTGCTGTCCTATAGTAATCTCTCTTCCAGAGCTCTCCATAACATCTCAAGTCTTTGATACCCATTTGGTACTTACGGAGCATCATCTGTACTTTACCTACTCTGCAGCCTGGCTTTCAGACAAGTTACATAGCCCTCATCTATCAAGCACTGACTAGTCCATGCCCACTCTTCTTGGCTTAAGCATTCCTTCCTTTTGTAGTGTTTCATAGCTTCACAAAGCACAGCATACATAACTCCTTTGTAACCTTTCTTGTAGCACTTCCCCCAAACACGACAGGGTCTGTTTGGTATCAGAAGCCTATACATGTTCTTCTGCAGTAGCTTCTAAACATGGTCTTCAGAATTAGGTTTGGTCTTTTTTAAAGGGTCTTTTGAAATGAAGACTGTTTGGAATAGAGTAATTTCTTGGGTTTCATATGTTTCTAATTTTTTTGTTTGTTCTTTTTCTTTCTTTTCTTTTTTCTTTTCTTTTTTTGCTTTCTTTCTTTTTTTTTTTTTTTTTTTTTTTTTTTTTTTGTGTGTGTGTGTGTGTGTGTGTGTGTGTGTTTTGTTTTGTTTTTTGTTTTTCGAGACAGAATTTCTCTGTGTAGCCCTGGCTGTCCTGGAACTTGCTCTGTAGCTCAGCCTGTCCTCGAACTTCAGAGGTCCATCTGCCTCAGTCATCCAAGTGCTGGGATTAAAGGTGTGAGCCACCACCACCCAGCTCTGTTACTAGTAAGGTTTTCCCCGCCGATCTGGTCCCACCACCATGCCAGCCCCAAATAACACACAGAGACACTGTATTTAATATAAATGCTGTTGGCCAGTTACTAGTTTCTTACAGGCTAGCTCTGTCTTAATTATTAACCCATTTCTATTAATCTAAGTATTTCCACGTGGTCTCATCTTACTGGAGAGAGGGTTTGCGTTCTGCTCTCTCCAGTCTCTCCATGCTGACTCCTCCCTACTACCTCCTCTTTCCTCCTTGTCTCCTAGTCCCTCCTATCTTCCTTTCCTATTGGCCAACAGTGCTTTATTCATTAACCAATAAGAGAAACATATTTACAGAATGATATCTCCCATCACAGCTCAGATTCAATTTTTTAAAAGATAGATTCCTATTCTCCACTATTATATGGCTTATTTATTTGAATGCTTAATCATCAGGAAGTTGCACTATTTGAGAAGGATTAGGTGGTGTGGTATTGTAAGAGGAAGTATGTCACTGGAAATGGGCTTTGAAATTTCAAAACTCAAGCCAAGCCCAGTGTAGTGTCTCTCCTCTGCCTGATGCCTATAGATCTGGGTATAGAACTCTCAGCAGCCTCTCCAAAGCTACCTCTTTCTGAAAGCTGCCATGCTTCCCACCATGGCCATAATAGACTAAACCTCTTAACTGTATGCAAGCCCCCAATTAAATGCTTTCTTTTCGTTTTGCTTTGTTTTTGTTTTTTGAAACAGGGTTTATCTGTGTAGCCCTGGCTTGTCCTGTAACTCACTTTATAGACCTCAAACTCAGAGATCTGCCTGTCTCTGCTTCCCAAGTGCTGGGACTAAAGATGTGTCCAACCACTGCCAGGCTGAATGTTTTATTTTGTAAGAGTTGCTGTGGTCACCATACAGTGGTGGAGCATGCCTTTAACCCCAGCACTCCGAAGGCAGAGGCAGGCAGATCTCTGTGAGTTAAAGGCCAGCCTGGTCTACAGATCTGGGTCCAGGACAGGCTCCCAAGCTACACAGAGAAACCCTGTCTTAAAGAAAAAGAAAAAGAAAAGTTACTGTGATCATGGTGTCTCTTCACAAGAATAGAACAGTGACTAAGACAGTTCTCCAAATTATTTAATTAGTTAAAATGAAAGAATCTGGAATATGTTCCCTGCAGCTCTTTATCAAGTCTTAGAACCATATTATTCTGTAAACCATATGACTCAGAAAAGAAATAATTGTCAGTCTTTCTACTGACAATTAGAGAGTCTTTAAACAATTAAAGCTCGGAGTCCTGACTGAATATTCAACTCATTTGTTCAACTAATTGGCATGCTTTGCTGAGGACTTACTATGTGGTAAACGCTATATGGATCTACCTAATCCTCAGAAGAGAAAGTTGAGTCCCACAAAGATGGAGCAGCTTGCAAAAGGCTGTTCACATAGGCTTAAGATAAGAATGTAAATGCTTTCTGGGGCTCATGTTCAGCCTTGATAAATGAATATCCTTTTTGTAAAGACTTTTATTTGTTATGTATACAGTGTTCCGCTTACATGTATCCCTGCAGACCAAAAGAGGATACCAGATCTCATCACAGATGGTTGTGAGCCACCATGTGGGTGCTGGGATTTGAACTCAGGGCCTCTGGAAGAACATCCAGTGCTCTTAACCACTATTCTAATTGCCACAAACTTCCAAGTACATAGCATAGACAAGCCCTCTTACCATATGGCATTTCCAACCATGCTTTCACATGGCCTCCAAGGGCTGCAAGGTCAAACTCTATTCTTTTTATGTTAAAAGAATGATACCATTTGCCTTTATGACTCCAACATCTACTTAAAGTATACTGAATTCTGTTGCAGGGTATTTGATCATGCTGTGAACCCTCAGATTGCATAATTTACTGGAACAATCTGTTTCTAGTTGTGGTGTGGCTCAGCCCTGGCACACACCCTTAATCTAAGAGCTCTCTGCTTGAATAATGTAATCAGGATTAAATAAAGTCAATCATAATATAAACAGGACTTTTAAAAAAGCAACCAGTTGACAGGAAAAAAAAAAAAAAACATAGAGAGGAAGAGGGAATCAAAAAGACAGAGAGACGCCCGGGAAGTGGAAGAGAGGGACATTCAGCTTGAATTCTCTTTGAGGCCGTGTAGGAGAAAGCCCTCTTTCCAGACATCGAGGGAGGAGCAAGGGAGGAGCTGCCCTCTGAGCTAGCAGGCTTTCTCCCCAGCATCTGACTCCTGAGTCTTTACTAGTATCCCTGAAACATTTAAGTACCAAGACTTTCAGCTCTTCATCATAAGAAAACATTTTTAAGAGTCCACCAAAGTCACCTTGCTCACTTGACATTCTAATTCCAAAGGAATAATATCCATGGGCTGTAGTCAAAATCCTGATCATGGTTGGTTTTTCTGCTGTGCAAGAAAGAAGAGGTTTTAAAAATCTAATGAAATACTCTACTGTAAATGATGAGCCTACCGACATCCTTAGATCTCAAGAAAAGTTTTTGTTGTTTGTTTATTTGTTTGTTTTTTGAGACAGGGCTTCTTTGTGGCTTTGAAGACTGACCTGGAACTAGCTCTTGTAGACCAGGCTGGTCTCAAACTCACAGAGATCTGCCTGTCTCTCCTCCCAAGTGCTGGGATCAAAAGGTGTGCCCCACCACCACCGGGCAAGAATTTTTTGTTTTGGTTTGGTTTGTAGATGTGTTGGTGTTTTACATGCATGTATATCTGTGCATATAGGGTCTCCTGGAACTGGAGTTACAGACAGTTGTGAGCTGCCATGTTGGTGCTAGAAATTGAACTCAGGTCCTTTGGAAGGGCAGCCAGTGCTCTTAACCACTGAGCCATCTCTTCAGCCCCTCAAAAAGTTTTAATAAGCAAACTTTGGCATGTTTGTATAAGTCATCAGGAAAATGTGGCTTCTCCTTGAGGTCACTAGCTTAACATAAAACTCAAGTCATTCAGTAGTTGCATAAGGTTTACTTGACTTGTGGGAATAACCTTAGACTAAGACATACATTAATTTCCTAGAAACCATACATTATTTTTTTTTTAATTTTTGAAGGGTTTTTCTTTTCTGAGACAATGTCTGGGCTGGCTTAGGAGTCACTGTGTAGCCCAGGCTAGTCTGTAGCTCATGGTAATCTTTCTGCCTTACTTTCACGAGTGCTAGGATTCTAAGCCTTACCTACCATAGCTGGTAAGAACGGTCAGCTATAGCCAACCTCCTCATTAACAGACAGACCTATTTGTTTCTTGCTTGCTTGATTTGGTTTTGCAGTGCTGGGACTCTGAACTCAAGGACTTGAGCATGCCAAACAATCACCCTACTGCAACCTACATTTCCAGCCCCAATATGAAGCACTTTTAATTCTCTGCTGTGATTACAGCAGCTAATCCATCCACAGTTTCCCCCAGAAGGGCACTTACATCAGTCTTGTTTATTCTGAGGATAGGTTAGACGAAAGAATGGTGCACTTGCTTCTGTCCTCTCTCTTGGAAAACAATTCCCCAAGAAAGATGTGGTGGTACTGCTCAGCTACTCAGAAGGCCGCAGCAGGGGCATCACACGCTCAAAGGAAGCCTGGGTGACTTTATTTTTTTTTTTTTTGTCTCAAAACAAAATTAAAAGGAAGGTACACAATATAGAATGTCTGTGAAGTCCTGGATTCGGTCTCCAGTGCTGAATGAACAATAAGACAAAGGATCTCAAAATATTAGAATTGGGTGACAATTATTTGGGGAATAATGTAAGTGAATTGCTTATTTAGAGTGACTTATTAATTATTCTGAAGTATAGCCTTGAACCAGGAACTGTGAATGGCTGTAATCAAACGTGGTGGTTTATGCTTGAAATTCCAGCACTAGGGAGTCTAAGGCAGGATGTTGATGAGATGAAGGCTAGCCTGGGATACATAGAGTTTAAAGTTAAACTGACTCTTATGGTGAGACCCTGTGTCATTACAATCAATCAATCAATCAATCAATCAATCAATCAAAACACAGCCTCCCTTATAAACTTCATACTGTCTCAGCAGTTTTGGTACATTTGCCTTACTGCAAACTAAGTAGCACAGACTCACAGCTTCATATCAGTAATTGCCACTAAGCAAAGACAGTTTTTCATTTTCACTTAAAAGAATTTTTAATCTACACACTTGATTTCACAAGAGTTTAATAATTGTGTGTGTGTGCACACGCACTCGTGCGTGTGCATGCGCATGCCTGTGAAGGTCAGAAGAAAGCATCAGATCCCCTGGAGCTGGAATTACAGGTACTGTGAGCCACCCAACATGGGTGCTGAGCAAGGCCACCGACTCTTCTCTCCAACCCTTTCTTCTACTCATCCTTAAAAGGATTTTGTTTTATTTACAATCCTTATGTGTGCACATGAGTGTAGAACCCTTAGAGGCCAGAGGCTTCAGGTCCTGTTGGAGCTAAAGTTACAGGCTGCCATGAGCCTCTGGTGTGGCCACTGGGAACCCAGCTCTGATTCTGTAACTGCTGACACATCTCTCCAGCCCCACATACACTTAAACCAGCTTCTAATGCCAACATCCCATGCAATTATAATGTGTGTTTATTAAATAGCTGATCTTATTGAGATTCTGAAGTTGCTTACACTGATAATTCTCTTTTAAGATCTAATCTTGGCCATTGTGATGTACTGTAGTTGCATCCAGTATGGGATATTTTTCTGATCTATTTTTCATAACCTTGAAGCTTTTGAAGGTTAGTGATCAGGCACTTTGCAAATTCCCTTCTATTTTAGTTACTCCACTCTCTCTCTCTCTCTCTCTCTCTCTCACACATGTGACTACAGTTGTGGGTGGGAAGGGGCTATCACATCGGCCATGAGTCTTTATCAGATTTGGGGACATGGTGTCAGGGATTTGTTATTAGAAACATGAAAACACCACTTGAAGGTGGTGTCAGCCAGGCTTTCTCCACTGTTCCCTTGTATACTCTGCTTTTAGAAACGAAGTACTAAGGGCTGGAGAGATGGCTCGGTGGTTTAGAGTTGTGGTTTTCCTTCTTGAGAAATGAAGTACTAAGTCTAGCTTGCATTCCTGGGGAAGAAAATTAAGCTCCACCTCCTAGAGGAATATTGAAAATGTATAGACTCATAGTAAAACTACAACCATGACAAATATGTTGGCAAAAATTTGGTTTTTGTTTTTTGAGAAAAGTTTTCTCTGTGTAACATCCCTGGCTGTCCTGAAACTCACTTTGTAGACCAGGCTGGCCTCAAACTCACAGAGATCCACCTGCCTCTGCCTCCCAAGTACTAGGAATAAAGGCGTTCCCACCACCACCCGGTAAGATATTTTGATTTGAAGCTGTGTAAATGTCCTGCTCCTCCTTAGAACTTTGTCCACTGGGTTTTGTATTTATCATGAGATGCTGCCTGTAGTTACTACCATGTTACTTTATAATGATTTTTTTTTCCTTCATTCCTTCTGTGTTTGGTTGGATTCTTCCAAGGGAAAGTTCTTTTTCCCTCACTTAAAAAATCCATTTCATCATCTACATCAGTTTGGATTCATGGTCAATTATTGTTTGGATTACAACCCAGTACTATCGTTATTTGCTTTGTTACTCAAAAACTCCCATCTTTGATAATTGGGTACATGTTTAGATTGAGTCTTGTCTCCTTTTGACATGTTCTCTCCTTCCCATTAAGTGTCTCCTCTTTCTGGAACTACAGGAAGCTTCAGGCTCGTTTTGTGTTTTCCTTCTTGCAGCTCTAGAATTAACCATGTCTCCACAAAGCCCTGGTTGTTTTTATCAGAGAATATTTAGTGTGGGCACTGGCTGGTTCTACATGTTGCTACTGAAGGGTCATCTCCCAAGTAGTCTCAGACCCATTACACAAATGTCTATTTTGATTGATATCTACCTTTGTTTGAGATAATATACACACATACTGGCCCCTCTGACTCTTTACAGCATAGGTTTGTTCTAGCCTTTCCAGTCTTCATAGTTCCAAACCCTGTTACTTATTTTATAACTTTTTATGATAGGGAGAAACTTGGCTCTTTCCATATATAAGCATGTGTCACTGTTTTTGGTTTTGGGTTTTTTTATTTAAAAGTTCTTTTACATTTCACATGCCAACCATAGTTCATCCTCCCCTCCTCCTACTCCCCTCCTTTCCCCATCTAACACACCCCATCCCACTCCTCAGAAAGAGTAAAGCCTCCCATGGGGAGTCAACAAAGTCTGACATATCAAGATCAGACAGAACCAAGCCCCTCCCTGCTGTATCAAAGCTGAGAAAGGTATCCCTCAATAGGTAATAGGCTCCAAAAAGCCAGTTCAAGCATGTGTCACTTTGAGACAATTTTTACCATATAAAGTACAATGTTTGTGTTCACTTGTTTTTGTCTTTAAGACTTAACAGTATTGGGCTGGAGAGATGGCTCAGTAGTTAAGAGCACAGGCTACTTTTCCAGAGGTCCTGTGTAGCAGTCTTGCTGGTGAACCTATTATGGTGGCCACACCCCTTTGGGCATGGCTTCAGGTGGACAGAAGCAGAAAGAGGGAAACTTGAGGAGGTGTGGCTTCTTTTTTTTCACAGTCTTTTCTCTTGGGTCAGCTGATCTATTAGGAAGCGCAGAGAAGTGTTCCCTTGGTTCTTTGCATTTAACTGTGTAAGTGGTCCCCAATAAATACCCATTTATCATTTATCTTGGGTCTACTGAAATCTTTACACCCATGCCTTCAGTCCTGAGTTCAATTCACAGCAGCACATGATGGCTCACAATGATCTATAGCCGGATCTGATTCTCTCTTCTTATAAAGATATGTATGTATGTATATATATATATATATATATATATAGTAACTTACGTTAGCCTCTTTCCTTCCTACCCATTTATTATACCTTAAGTTTGTAACTGTCCTCATCTATATTCCATCCTATTCACCCAACACTGGACTTTTCAAAGAGTCAGACAGTAAAGTAGTCACTCTTTGTTGTGTGTAAGTCTGTGAATGTTAAACACCTAGAGAACCACATAAAACAGTTCCCTTAAATTCAAACTTCTTTTGAGTCCCTGTCTCTGACAGCCATCCTTAGATTCTGACTCTTGGCAATCATCTATTTGTCCCTGTTAATTTTGTCTTTTCCAAAACACTGCATAAATGGAAAGCTGGGCATGACTCACACATGCAGCCACAGCACTCAGAGGATTCAGCACTTAAGAACTTAGTTTTAATTGGGCATGGTGGGACACAACTTTAATCCCAGCACTTGGGAGGCTGAAGCAGGTGGATCTCTGAGTTTGAGAGCAGCCTGGTCTACAGATCGAGTATAGGACAAGTCTTGGGACAAGGGGCTGGGGAGGGGGACGTTTTATTGGGCCAGTTTAGTAAGCCTATGTTTTTCATCACTCCATTCTGTCACTGAAATAATTTAAGAAATTAGCATTCAAGAGACATGGAAACACAGAATACAGGTTTGATTTCCTTGTATTTTCAAGTTAGTCTCACTAAAAATATTACCCTTTCATTTCAGACAATATCTCATCATACTCGAGAACTTCTAGGAATTGAAGAACCACTGTTCAACCGCAGCATCAGCCTTCCCTACAGGGACAATATCGGTTTGTTCTTAGAGCAGAAGGGTCACAGTGGAGTCAAGTCTGCCTCCCTGACCTTGTCTGAATTTGTTAAAGAAGCAGGATTGGAGGAGTATGGTCTGGAGATAGACGCCATGGGAGTGCATGAGTCCTCACTGCTAGACGGCAGCCAGGAAGAAAACAAGCCATTGCTGCAGGACATCTGCTTCGAGAAAGAGTGAGGTGTGCTGCACAAGCTCTCACTCGCTCAAAAGATCAAAGGAAATTAGTTGGGGCAAGAGGCACGGTCATTTTCCGTTTTCTCCTTTTCAAGAAGGGTGGAAGTTAGGAGTGCTGGCTCCAGTCTTAAGTCTTCCTGACTCACAGCATCTTGTCTCTGTTAAGGCCAGCAATAGTTATCTTCCAACAGAATTTTCAGAATTTGTGTTGATACCTGGTACTATGATTTATTAGGGAAATTGTGATTGGAAAAAGTCTCAGCAAGGCATAGTGCATATCTCCAATCCTTGAACATGGCCTGAAGACAGGGGGATCGTGAATCTTGAGGCCAGCCTGAGATATAACAGGTCTCAGGAAGCCACATCAATAAAATGGTTTTGGAAATCTCTTGCAGGGATTCTGTGATGCTGCTTATAATCGGGGTGGAGCTCTGCAGTGATGCTGGCTTGGGGTCACCCACACTCCTGTATGTTGAGCAGCTGATGGCAATGACTGTAATCCTGATTCTAAGATAGAAACTGTGATATGTCTTAGTCTGATTACAGTAATTCTGAGAATAAAAATTAACATAGAGGGGCTGGAGAGCCGGCCCAGCCATCAGAGTGCTGACTGTGCCTGTGGAAGGACCCTGGTGTAGTTGCTGGCACCTGCTTACAGCCACCCGGAACTCCACTGCCCGGGGACTCAAGGCCAATTTCTGGTGTCCATGAGCATCTGAAAAATGTGCTCACAGACTCATCCAGGCGAGCATGCTTACACAGTAAACAGGATATGTATTTATTTATTTGCTTATTTATTTATTTATTTATTTAATTCAGACAGGGTTTCTCTGTGTAGCCCTGGCTGTCCTGGAACTCACTCTGTAGACCAGGCTGACCTCGAACTCAGAGATCCACCTGCTTCTGTCTCCTGAGTGCTGGGATCAAAGGAGTGCACCACCACTGCCTACCTAGACTTTTTTTATTTAAAATGGAGCTTAAAACAGTCCCCAAATATCAGTTTACCATCTGACCCGAAGGAGAAGCAAGGGAGCCTCAAACATGAGCCAGGTAACTAGTGACGCGAGCGAAAGAACGAAAGAACGGATGACTTGATGACAGTGAACACAAGCAGCTTCAGGAAGGGAGAACAGAGCCAGGGCTGGGGAAGCCCTGCATATTCAGAGTGGGAAAGAAGAATAGAATGACCACAGGGTTCTGAGTTCCTCTGCCGTCTCCCATTTGCTTACACTGGAGTTGATGACAAGTAAATGGGCAGACGGCAGAAGAGCCTGAGAAACATCTTCATTGCAGCCTTGCTTGGAGAGAGTCCTTTCCAGACTGGGTGGAAAGAATCTAGGATGTGCAAACACTCAAATTAGCCGAGCCAGGTTTAGAATAGACAGGAAAAATCCAAAAGGTTTAAATCATACACTCTGACAGAAAAGGCAACTGAGCCTTGACTAGGAGAATTAATCCTCCACTTTCACATCTGTAAGAAACGACCGAAGAACCAGCAATGAATAGAGATGTGATAGAGAAGGCACATAAAAGCTTGTCAGTAAGGGTTAGTGGGCAAAAGCTCCCGCTGTGTAAGCCTAAAGACCCCAGTCAAATCCCTAGATCCCACAGCAGGAGAGCCAAGTCCCCAAAGTTAGCACTGACATCTATGTGTATGTTGCACCTACATACATATCAGACACAGGCACACTCACACACACTAATTTAAAAAAAAAATATTTGAGAGAAAAGATGCATTCATTCAGGGCATCTGTTTTCGCAAATGCATGAGGAAATGTTAAACATAATAAACCTGTCAGAAATTCTCCAAAAATTCTCCAAAAAAACCCCAAAGAGCACTCTAGAGCAAGTACCTTCCAGAGCTGTAGAGATGGTTAGTAGCTGCTCCTCAGAGGGCCCTGGTTCAGGTCCCAGCACCCACACGGTGGCTCACAACCACCTCCAACTCCAGCTCCAGTGAACCTGACCCCTCTTCTGTCTGCCTTTGGCACCAGAAACATGTGCACATACAGGCAAATCACATATATTTTTAAAAATTCATGTTAAAAAAAAAAAAGTACCTTCTGGATCTGGAGAGACGGCTCACTCAGAACAATTCCATCTCCAAGGGATCTGATGCTCTTCTGGCCTCCACAGGTACCTGCATACATGTGGCATATGCTAGCACACAACACACATATACAAGGTTTTGTTTTTAGAGACAGGGTTTGTCTGTGTAATAGCTGTAACTGTCCTGGAACTCTCTCTGTAGACCAGGCTGGCCTCTGCCTTCTGAGTGCTGGGATTAATGATGTGGGCCAAAACCAGCACCTGGCCACACATCTTTCTTTCTTTTTTTTTTTAATGCCTCCTTATTTGACAAGTAGTAGTTGACAAGTGAGGAGAAAGATGCCCATGCACCATGCAGTGTCTGTCTGGAAAAGAACCCAGTTTTGAAAGTATCTTCCAGGAAAGCTCATGGTTCTGGGAAGACGTGTGCCATTCATCTTCTAAGGTTTGTTTAAAAGAAAATAATTTAGGCTTAGAAAATCACAAAACAGAAAGTGACCAATGCTTTAAACATAGTCGAAGGGAATTTCCATAATAAAGATAAAAAATAAGAGTAACAAGAAGCAGATACAGTCGAAAGATGCACAAGCATTTGATCAGTAAATGAGAAACAATAGGGGGCTGGAGAGATGGTTCAGCAGTTCAGAAGACCCTGGTTCAATTCCCAGCACCAACATGGCAGCTCACAACTGTAATTCCAGTTCCAGGGGACCCAACACACATCCATGGCAAGACACCAATGCTCATGAGAGAGAGAGAAAGAGAGAGAGAGAGAGAGAGAGAGAGAGAGAGAGAGAGAGAGAGAGAGAAGAAAAACAATGGGAACCAAAATGCTACCACATGGAAGTTTGTTTAAGACATACCTACGTCTTGGAAGGAAAGAAACCACATGACTGAAGGGAAAAAGACAGCATTTCTACACTTAACCAAGAAACAAAACCAATGGAGGGAGTCCTTGCGCCAGAAGCCATCACAGGTATGTGCAGTGCTTATAATAACTACAAACACAGGAAGCCTGAATTGGAAAGTGTCAGCTAGCCTCCACATGGTGACAGAATATCAGAAATGTGTCTAGATGGCAGATTGAGGACAGCAAGACAAAGCTATGGCAACGTAGTAACGTGTTACACAGAGCCTGGCCATGAAAGCTGAAATTCATCTTTAAAGGAGCAGATGTCTGCCAGCAAGCATTCCATCGTGCAGGCATGGGAAGAGCTCAGGAGGCCTACCACTCTCTGAGGACTCATAAGCCTATATGATTGTTGGGGGGTGCTGCTCTGACAACCCCACCCCTCCACGAGGGTCCACAGGCGTTAATATATATTGGGGAAGGAGGGGCAGTTCCTTTAGGAGTATAGCCACTAATGAGCCCCTCGCCCATGCTTTTGCAAGTAATCCTAATTACACTTCATTAGTTCACTAAAGAAGAGCTATTTTATTCTTGGGCGAGCATGAAGCGGGCAGCACAGTGCAGATGGTCCAATAAAGGGCTTGCAAAGACAGAGACCCCACTTTCAAATAGGCAGACACAGTCTTTTACATACAGGTGAAGTATCTGAATCCAAATAGAGTAATAATTATTTTTTTAATTAAGTAGAAGGAAAGTTCTTGATGAAAAGAAGTTAATTGGCACCAAGCCCCCAGGCCAGCGGTCCTCACCCTTCCTAATGCTGCAACCCTTTAATACAGTTCCACATGTTGTGGTGATCCCAACCATAAAATTATTTTCATTGCCGCTTCAGAACTGTAACCTTGCTAGTTATGAATTTTAATGTAGAGATGTGTGTTCACTGATGCTCATAGGCAACCCCTATGAAAGGGTCATCTGACCCCTCCCCTCCAGGAGTCATAACCCATAGATTGAGAAACACGTCCTACAGAAAGGGGAACACCACCTAACTCATTGCTCACACTTCAGACGACGGCCCCAAGGCTCCAAATCCTGAGTTACTAAATTGGCCTGTGTGTGCCTGTGCTCTGCATAGGCACTGGACTCCCAGTGAGTCCAGAAGAGGGCATCGGATTCTCTGAAACTGGAATTAAAAAGGATTGCAAACTACCATGTTGTGTGTGTGTTCTATACATGTATGTGTGTGTGTGTGTTTTATGTGTATGTTCTTTGTGTATTCATTCTTCATGTGCGTGTGCGTGTTCATGCCTGTTAGTGGGGGACACACGTGTGGGTGCATTTGGAGATCAGAAGTTGGTGCCATGGTGTCATCACTGTCACATTACAGAGGCAGGGACTCGCAGAGCTCATTGACTTGGCTAGTCTGGGCAGCCAGCTTGCCCCATGAGGGATTTGCTATCTCCACCTCCCCTCTCAGTTTGACTGGGGTTCTGAGGACCCAAACTCTGGCCATGTTTTTCTGGGTAGCAAGCACTTTATCCACTGAGGCCTCTCCTCAGTGTCTTGGTCTCACTCCCTGATTAATCCTAAAGCCCACTGTGGTGCTGATAGAGCACTGTGGGCAATGGTGGACCTTGTCTAACTACATACCTGAATGGAACAAACAAAACAACTTTTCCCCAAAATTGGAGGAGGAAGTTTTATCAGAAACCATCCTAAATAAATAAGTAAATAAGCAAATTAAAACAAAGCATTCTGGAACCATCGAATTTACTTAGTGCATGACTATGCAAAATAACAAAATGTAAATGGTCACTATAAGACCATGGTGATTTCCATGTATTGTGTGTGGTTTTGCGCAAAAGTTCCCGAGCATTCGCGAAGCATGGTTCTACCCAGTAGCAAAGCTGAGAACATTTCTCACCTTGGTGAGGCCACTGGTTTTGTTTTCAGCTCTATTGTAATTGACAAAAACAAATTGTAAAGCATGAAGCAAGTGTACACCATAGGAGTAAGATCAATATTTTACAAAACATTTTCAAGGATTTAATATAAGTGCCAGATTTGAGTGTGCTTTTTTGTTTGTTTTAAGGCAGGGTCTTGCCCATGGCCCAAGACTGGCCAACTTCCTGCTGCAGACTCCTGGTACTAGGATTATAGATATGTGCCATCACTCCACATCACTTTATGTTTGGGTTTTTTTTTTTTTTTTTTTTTTTTTTATTGTTTAGGGCTTTCTGAGACATTGTTTCTCTGTGCAAGAGCCCTAGCTGTCCTGGAACTCACTATTTTGGAGCCATGCTGGCCTTGAACTCACCTCTGCCTCTTGAGTTCAGGGATTAAAGGCATGCACCACCACCACCTGGCTTTTTTTGTTTGTTTTTTATTGTTAGTGGTGGTGGTACTGGTGCTGGTTGGTGGTTTGGGGCTGGGGGGGGCAGTTGAAGGAGACATGTTCTCCTATATCACAGCTGACCTCAAATTCACTATGTAGCCAAGGACAACCTTCAATGTCTGATCCTCCTGCCTCCACTTCCTAAGAGCTGGGATTGCAAGCAGGTGCCACCTCACCAAATTCATGGGGTGCTTATGACTGAACACACAGTTCTGTACATCCTAGGCTAACAACCCACCAGCTGAGCTGCATCTTTAGCAGGAATGTCTTTATGGCTTTGTGGATTTAAGTGGTTCAAATGGGAATAGCTTTAAATAGCCATCCTAGAATAGTCAAATATAACTAAAACAAGCAAGAATTAATCATACTCCTACTAAGATTGCTCACCCAACACTTATTTCTCTACCCCAAAAAAGTAGGAGAACCAAGCTTTATCATTTTCTAGCTTTATATTACCACAGGAAAAGAAGGTTTCCTGTTTGATTGTCTGATTATCTGATTATGACAAAATCACTTGGATTTAGCATTTAGAAGAGAAATAATTTGTGTTAAAAAGGCTTTCTGGGGGAGGAGCAATGTACTAGGTTGTGTCAAAAAGTGAGATACACCCCAGGCTGGCCTTGAACTCATGATCCTCCTCCTCTGCCTCCTTTAGCAAATCCTACCGGTGTGTGCCACCACAACCGGTGTTTGTTTTCATTTAAATGTTTGTTTTCATTTAAATGGACTTGGTTATATAAAATAAATAAAAAAAAGTGAGATACACCCGAGTATATTGATGTATGCGAACCTCTTATTTTACTCTGTGCTCAGGTCATTCATTAGTACAGTTCTCAGGCACAGTGCATGGCTTTCTGTCAGTTCCAATCCCTTGGGGTGGAGAACCTGTGGCAGCCTGTGGTGGTTCTTCGTTGACTAGCAAGATGCCAAATGATTTACGGTATAGAAGAGTAAGGTGTTCCTGGAGGATGGGAGTTTTTGAGAGATGCTGGCTGAAGGGCGTCTCCTTGAGTTGCACAGTAGTCAGATCAAACCAGGGGAAAGGCCTGCCGGGAGACAAAGATAGCATTACTTTCTTTCCATTTGTTTAATACATATAACTTGGGTGTGAAACACCACACTAAAGGAAGACTTCCGAACTTGACTATATCACTATAGAAATTTCCAGCCAGAAAAAGTGCAAATAAACAAATAATTTTAAAAAAAAAAGATAGAAAGCAAATATCCATGACTGAGCTATATGGGTTAGCATATGCAAGAACTATGAAACACACATACACAATATGTATGTATGTATGTATGTATGTATACATCAGGCAGACAGATAATACTAGAAGGGGAGGGGAGAAAGGAACAGAATACTTGAAATAATAATGACTGAAAATTTTCCTAAATTAATGTCATATAGCAAGCCATAGGTCCAGGCAAGCTAAGAACACCAATGCCAACAATAAAATGACAAAATTATACCCCAACATAGTCTCAAATTATAGAAAATTACAAGAGAAAGCCAAAATCCTAAGAAAAGCCAGAGGACAATTACTTCATTATAGAAGGGTCTTATAGTGGTAAGAACTGATTTCTCAGAAGCCATGCAAACTGGAAGGCAATGGAATGAAATATTCAAACCATCAACCCAGAGCTGTGAATCTTTTTTTTAGATTTGTTTTGCTTGCATGTATGCATGTGCACCATACCTGTTCCTTGTGCCAAAAGAGGTCAGAGGAGGCATCAGATTTCCTGGTCCAGATGACGGAGTTACCTGTGGGTGCTAGGGACCACACTCAAGTCCTTGCAAGAACAGCAAGTGCTCTTAACCTTTGAGTCATCCCTCCCTCCCCCAGAAATGTGTGTTTTGTAGAATTATCCTTCCAAAGTGAAGAAATAAAAGCTTTATCAAACCAAAGTTGAAGGGATTGTTGTCAGTATATAAGTCTTACAGTATATCAGTTCTTCAGAAAGGAGGAAAACAAACATTAGACCCTAGGACCCACATAAAGGAGGGAAGAGTGTTAAAGAAAAATAGGCGAAGAAGTCATTCTCCTTCATCTGCAGAGACCAAACAGACAGCAGTGTGTTCAAAGTGATGGGGATGTAGCTCCCTTGCTGGAATGTTTGCCCAGCATGGCAGAGCCCTGGTTTTAATCCACAGCACCACACAAACTTGGTGTGTTGGCATATTCCTGTAGCCATAGTGCTCAGAGATGGAGGCTGGGATCATGAGAACATTATAAAAAAAATACTCAAGTATTTATGCATATATATCACGTTTGTATGATTCAAATTATGCCAATGATGTAAGCACACATGAGGAGGAATTCAAATTATTCTGATATTCTAAAACATACTATCTGTGAAGAGGTATGGGGTTATCTAGAATTGACTTGGATTAGTTGTAAATATATAGTACAAGGTTGTTGGTTATAAGGTCAATATACAAAACTCAAATCTTCTTCCTATATGTCAGCATTTTGGTCCATTTTATGAGGTTTATTTACCCTCCATGGAAACACCTTCACAGTCACACTTGAAAGAGTACACTACCGTCCTAAGAGCGATGTAATCCAACCAATCAGGCTGACAGTCAAGATTACCCATCCAGACATGAAAGGCATGATCCATGAGAGAAAGAGTGAGCTCTGTTACAGATCTGGTATGGTGGTACATGCCTGTAACCCTAGCATAGGGAGGTAGAGATGAAAGGTTTTAGGTTCAAGGTCAGCCTGAACCTCCTGAGTTCTGGACCAGATAGGGCCACAGACTTGACATTCTGTCTCAATTAAAAAAAAATTAAACAAACAAACAAAAACAAAAAAGAAAACAAAGACAAAGTCTGTCTTGTGACAAACACTGTCAAAAGAATGAAAATTCAGATCACAGATTGGAAACTGTCTGAAAAGGACACATTCGATGATCTGCCTGGCAGTGGTGGCGCATGCCTTTGATCCCAGCCTCTGGTGGCAGAGGCAGGTGAATCTCTGTGATCTCTGTCTCGAAAACTAAGCAGACTATTATGTAAAATACAGAACTGATTCTGAAGACTAAACAGGAAGATGAATAAACCAATTATATGGGCAAAAGTCCTTACCAGACTGTTCGTTTATTTGTTATTTTTGTTTTTCCAGACAGGGTTTTTCTATGTAGCCCTGGCTGTCCTGGCACTCACTCTGTAGACCAGGCTAGCCTCAAAAACTCACAGAGATCTGTCTGTCTCATGGTTATTCTCAAGTTTTGTTCATTAAGCCTGAAGCTGCCATAAACACGCACACGCAGTGCATAGATATACATACAGGCAAAACAAACATATGTGTGAAAATCAACTTTAAAATATTTTTTAAAGCAATTTGGAAGAAATAAACCAATTAGAGGAGAAAAACAGCGCAACATTTTATGGTCTCAAAAGAATAAGATCATTGTGTAAGGAAATAACAGTAGGGGGCGGCATCAAAAGGGACACTCAGACATTTTCAAAGCTTTCAAATTCAAAATTCAGTAGACAGGAAAATGTGCTACTAAAGTATGCTAGCAAAAACAGGCATTGAAAGAAAGCAGACGTGTGGGTGGGCAGTCAAGGATGTCAAGAATAGGAAGCATGAAACCGAAAGGCCCATCTAAGGGGTCTAGAAAGGAAAGAAAAAAGAGTAACAGGAAAGAAGGGAGCCAGTAGGAACTGCAGAGTCATAATCAAAGAAGCCTGGAGGACTCAGGCGGCAAAGTCCAGCTGAACACGTTGCTTCCCCAGGGTGGGGTGACGGGCCGGGCGGGTCATTTGCATCAGAATAATTCATAAGTTGTATATTTACAAACAGAATATGAACTTCCTTCTGTACATGTGTTATATTTCACAATATATGTTTAAAAATTAACTGTGTTGGTGAGGGGTGGAGCCTGCGGGGGAAATTGTTCCATCAATTAAGTGCTTGCCACTCAAGAATGACAACCCCTAGCCAGGCAGGCTGGCACATGCCTTTAATCCTAGCACTCAGGAGGCAAAGGCTGGTAAATTGCTGTGAGTTCAAGGCCAGTCTGATTTAGGTAGCAAGTTTCAGGACAGGCAAGGATACACAGTGAGACACTGTGATAAAACAAAAAATATGTAAAGGGTAAAATGACCCAGCTATTGGGATTTGGCCAAAGGATCAGTAGTAGCCCCAAGAGCAGCCTGGCCTAGATGAGACATTGACTCCAAAAAGCAAAAATCTAACAATATGAGTTAGAAAGCCCTATAGCTCCCAACAGCAACTCTAAAAGTTAAGGACAGTGGAACAGAGCTCACACACACTCCAGGAAAATGTTTTCAGTCTAGAATCTGCTACTTAATCATGTTCTCGCTAAAGCTGTAGGTAAGAGCGCAAACATTTTCAAACATAACAGATCTCCAAAATTACTTCCAATATACCCTTTACTCAGGAAGTTATTATAAGATATAGGCCACTAAAATAAAAAAAAAAAAAAAAAAAAAAAAAAAAAAACTAAAAAAGGTTCAGGAAATGACACAGACGTGAGGGAAATTTCCAAACTGAGAGTATCATCTATTGATGACCAGAATCTGGGATGGAGAAGAGAAACTGGGATCAACGATTGTGTCTGGGGTCATGGGGTTCCAGCACTTGGTGAGGCAGCAGTAAGAACCCCACAGAAGCAGGGATGCTTACACACATTGGGTTTCGGAAGAGATGATGAATACGTGGTCGCCTAGGCATAGCCCCGATGGAGAGTTTTATGCTGCCAGAGCAAAAATGGCAAGTTGTATTCCAGAACTGGAAAGGATCACCCAGGAACAAGTGTAGATGAAAGAAAAGAGGTGCCCGGTGTTGACCCCTCAGAACTCTCAGATCTGAGGGAGGACAGCAGGAAAGCTACCAGAGGAGAGGAACACCGGGGCTCACAAAAGCCAAGAACTACTGTTTGAAAAAGAAAAAGCACATCCAGTCATCGAAGAAGAAAAGGAGCTCAAAGAGTTCAGTGAGTCTAGGAACATGGGAAATCACTAGAAATGACAGCAGCAAGCTTGACATATTGGATTAACAAAGACCAGAAAGGGTCACTTTGTAGTCACCACGCTACAGAGAAATGATACTCGAATATGGTATTGGTGTCGATGTTTTACTAAGCAATAATGTAGGTAAGTGTCCTCTAACTAAATTAGTCATCAATATGTTTATCCAGCATAAACACTTGTCCAAGGATTCAAAGTAAGTGTGTGGAAGTTCTAGTAGCCCATTGGGCAAAATTTGAGGCAGAGGAAGGGATTACACTCTATCACAGGAAGACATGGCAACTTGTAACTTGCACAGCATGTCTAAAAGCCTTCCTGTGTGGCTGCTGTTTCTAAGTGAAGCAGGCAACACCAGCATCCACAGAGTTCTAGCTGGATATAGAAAGCAAGAGTGGTATTGCCTCCATGTGTCTAACACTGTAGTAGTGGATATGCATACCTATTACAATACAAAGACAAGTATCTGTTGATGCCTAGATAAAATGACAAGACAGTCTATTAGAGATGACTATCTATGAAATAAAATGGGATTTAAACGGCAGGGAGGGCAGGGTCAGGCCATGTGGTGGGGCATGTTTGGAATCCTGGAACCTGGAAGATTAAAGGGCAAGGATCACAGGTTCAAAGCCAGCCTGGGGACTCTCACAAACAGAAAAACAAAAAAGCCTATTGAGATGAGGAGAGGAACATGAAAGGATGAAAGAAAGAAAAGCTTGTGTGAAGCAGAAGAAATGGCTTCACTGGTAAAGGTGCTTGCTGCAAAGGTGTTCTCTGCCAAGCCTGAGAATCTGAGTTCAATACCAGCACCCACATGGCAGAAGGGGAAAACTGACTCCTACTGGTTTCCCTCTGGTCTCTCCAAGCCTCTACCCCCCAAAAATGTGTTTGGTTGTTTGGTTGGTTGGTTGGGTGTTTTGTTTTGTTTCTCGAGACAGGGTTTCTCTGTGTAACAGCTCTGGCTGTCCTGGAACTCACTCTGTAGATCAGCCTGGCCTCAAACTCACCGAGATTCACCTGCCTCTGTCTCCAGAGTACTAGGATTAAAGGTGTGCACCACCACTACCCAGCCCAAGAAATGTTTTTAAAAAGCATCTGTTAAGACAAAAAACAAAACAATAACAAAACAAACAAACAAACAAACAAACAAACAAAAAAACCTGTGGGACAGATTCCCATGGCCAGATGTTTGCCATCTTACCTGTTTTGAAACAAGTTCCTGACGTAGTTTCTGTTCATGATGTCTGATAGCTGAAACTTGGGACAAGATTCTTTGTCTTTCTCACAGCTCTCCAAGTGCACAGAGAGAAAGAGTTTGTTCAGGATCCGCAGCACTTGTGAGTGAAACACGTTCTTCGATGTGCAGACATTGATGGCTGCATAAAACACCCCCTCCAGCCATTTGATATTGAGGATTACTCCCCCTAGATGTGAAGAAAATTAATCATGAGCATCTGCAAAAGGTAAGTGACAAGGAACCCAGAAGAAACCCAGAGAGGGACTGCAAGGCTACTACCTTTCCTCTAAATTGGTTGGCATTATGGCCAGGAGATGAACACACTGCCTTCCCTGGCTATCAGCCCCATTTGGGCTTTACAACACATTATGTGTTTATCACAGCAAAGGGGAGAAAACAGAACTAAGTCAGACACTTCTGATGGCAGAAGACTCTCCACAATGGTCCCTGCCCAAAGCAGGAACTGGGAAATACTGCAGGACTAGAGGACCCCCCCCTTTTTTTTTTTTTTTTTTTTTTTTTTTTTTTTTTTTTGCTGTCTTGGGTTTTGTTTTTGTTCGAGACAGGTTCACATGTAGCTTTAGCAGTCCTCAATGAATCTTGACACCCTGATTCTCCAGTCCCCAGCTCTCCCAGGCTGGGATTATGGGCATGTACCACCAAGCCCAGTTCATTCTTTGTTCACATAAGCTATTTTCCCTGGTTATTTCTAGTCTAGACTTAAGGGTTCAAAAATTAGGCTTCTCAGCTCTGCTTAAGAAAGGCTGCTTTTGCCTACCAAGCTCTTTTCATACTATGGTAGTTTGAATGTAACTGGCCCCTATAAGCTCACAGAGAGCCACACTATTAGGAGATGTGGCCTTCCTGGAGGAAATGTGTCACCGTGGGGACAGGCTTTGGGGTTTCTTATGCTTGAGGTATGCCCGTTGACACAGACCACTTCCTGCTGCCTGTGGGTCAAGATGTTGGGCTCTCAGCCCCCTCTCCAGCACCACGGTGCCTGCCTGCACCGTGTCCCACCATGATGATAATGGACTGAACCTCTGAAAATGTAAGATCTGCCACCCCAATTAAATGTTTTTTCTTTACACGAGTTGTCATGGTCACGGTGTCTCTTCACAGCAATAGAAACCCTAAGACACATACCAAACTCAAATAACTAAGAATGTATCTACTTGGTGCTTTCTCCAGCACACACACACACACACACACACACACACACACACACACCAGTCATGTAAGGTAATTGTTAAAAGAATGTCAGAAATAGTTAGTTACACAGTTGAGCATTTACCGACACTACTGTAGGGGCAGGTACCCTGAAGAACCACTGGGTCTTGGAGAGCAGTTGTGATGTCCTTATTCTCTCCCCAAATGTTGTCAAAATCCTCAGAAAACTGATATTGGGGCCGCAAGATATTGGTGTGGTTCAGTAGAAGTTTCAACCTGGAAGCCACAAAGACAGGGAGTATAGTGCCAGACTGGAGTAAATGACTACCCAGTCTACTGCATTGCCATCAGAGCGGAACAACCCCCCCCACACACACACACACACACACAGCGCTGCTCAGGTAACATGATGTAAGCCTGGGGGTGAACACTGAGGGCACTGATTGATTGCATTGTTCAACTATCCACCTAATACTGAATGTTATCAAGTGCCTAGCTCTTGGCTCAATGCAGGAGTACAAAAATAATGCCTAATGTATTTTTTAGTAGTTTTTCATGTTGTCCGCTGTTTCCTCATTAACACAGAGTGGGAAGCAAGTACTTGGGGAACAATATGCCTGCCATTAACTTCTTTTTCGTAACTTTTCAAAATTATTTTTTTACATTCCAGCTATTAACGTTTTAAACAGGAAAAACATCCCAATTTCTAAGTGCTGTTTGTATAAAAATGGGGCGGAGGGGGAAGATGGTGGTCTTTGTGCAGCTACTGCCTCCTTGCTGAGGATGGATGATTAACTCCAGGAGGTAGGGCTACAGTGGTGGCGGGCCCTGAACCGGAGGAGACAACAGCGACCATGCCCTTCTGTTCTCACGCTGACAAGATACCTGGGTAGCGGGATGGCGGACACAAAGCTGTACACGGTGCAGGTCTTCTCAAGTTTGGTTTGGATTTCTAAGCAGATATTAGGCAGCTGAGCTGGCAAGCAGCAGAGAAACAACACTTTGGCCCAGCCCGCCAAAGTAGCATTGTCGTAGAAGCACCGAACTCCTAGTTTCTGGAGCTCAACTGGGAGGGAGAAAGGAAGGGAGAGAAAGCACAATGCAGAAATATTTGACCTGAACATCAGCTGCGGGGAGAGGATGGTGGGAACTGTGTCTCAGTAAGCAGCCGAAGTCGCGTTACCACAGAAACCAGAAGCTGTTCCTGGATGCCTCTGTGAGCTACGCAAAGCAGCCTTCCCCCCCTCATGTGCGAAGCTGATGCACTGTGGCTGAGCTTGCAGTTGTGCCGTGATCCCTTTTAGGATTGATTTAAGAACAATCGCTAGGTGTGTTTTCTTTCTTTCTTCTTTTCTTTCTTTCTTTCTTTTTTTAACTTAAGCTAGGAAAAGCATCTCTAAGAGGCATTCTGCTTCTATTTCCTGTAGAATTAGCACTTGCCAGATAATGTATAAAGCACTTTCTGCATATTCTTTTTGTTTTTCGAGACAGGGTTTCTCTGTGTAGCTTTGGAGCTTGTCCCGTAACTCGCTTTGTAGACCAGGTTGGCCTCGAACTCACAGAGATCCGCCTGCCTCTGCCTCGAAGTGTCTGCCTCGGAGTGCTGGGATTAAAGGCGTGCATCACCGCCACTGGGCCATTTCTGTGTATTCTTTAAAGCGGCTCTCACAAGGAACCTGAGATCAATGAAGATGGTTCCCATATTACAGATGAGCAAACTGAGGATGTTATGTGACTCACTGAGATAGTTCATGAGCTTGAGTTTGTGGGTAAAAGTAGAAGTGTGAGAGAATTAACAGAAACTGGGAGAAGTTGTGGAAGGTATAAAGGTTTTTGTAAGACGATACAAAGATTCATAAATGTAGAGGGAAAGTGTCTGCATATATAATAACTCATACGTTTGCATTAAATACACAGGTACTTAATTATTTGATTAACCTTACTGTAACATGGATTTCTGAAAGTAAGAATTTAAAATGTATACTTCCATCTGGTATGCTTTTTAAGTGATACTGAAAAAAAAAAAAAAAAAGCAAAAGATGTTGGGAGAGGTAAGTACTCAACCCAATGACCAAAAACTGTTAAAAGTAATGCTGGGCTGGGCAGTGGTGGCACACACCTTTAATCCCAGCACTGGGGAAGCAGAGGCAGGCAGATCTCTGTTTGAGGCCAGTCTGGTTTCAAAAATTGGGGAAAATTGGAAAGACATATTAAAATGATGATATTCAAAATTCGTTCCAGGCCAGAGAGCTGGCTCAGGGCTTAAGAGCACTGGCTGCTCATCCAGAGGAACTGGGTTCAGTTCCCAGCCACCATATGACAGCTCACGACCATCTACAACTTCAGTTCTGGGGGTCTGGGCTTCCAATGGAAATGTATGTGTGTGGTACACAGATAAGATTTACACCCAGGCAAAACCACCATGTGCATAAAATAAAAATAAATAATTTTTATAGAGGATGGTTTCCAGCACTGAAAATGGTATAACGCGGGAGAGACAACTCAGGGGTTAAGAGCACTGGCTGCTCTTCCAGGGGTCCTGAGTCCAACTCCTAACAACAACATGGAGGCTACAACCACCTATAATAGGCTCGGATTCCCTCTTCTGGCATGTATGTTACTTGCAAATAGAGCACCCATACATAAAATTAAATAAGTTTTTTTTTTTTTAAAAGAAAATGGTATAATGAAATGGATGTTCTTATGCAACACTGCTAAAAATTCAAACTTGAACTTTAAGTTAAATTGGGAAACAAAAGTACTAAATGTCTAACAAAACAAAGTATTAGATGTTTCTTAACAAGTCAGCCATTTTGCTTCCAAGCATTTGCTCAAGAAAAAAATGAAAGTAGATCTCCACAAAGTAGAAGTGTACAAGCATTTATAGAGGTTTTATTTGCAGAGGCCAAAAATTGGGAGGGAAATTACATTAACAAATAAAGAGAAAAGCTGTAATACTCATGCAATGAAATAATACTACTTAGAAAGGAAGAGGAGAGGCCAGGCATGGTGGCACACATCTTTAATTCCAGCACTCTGGAGGCAGAGGCAGATAGGTCTCTGTGAGTTCAAGGCCAACCTGGTCTACAGAGCTAGTTCCAGGACAGCCATGATTACACAGAGAAACCCAACTTGGAAACAAACAAAGAGAAGGGAGAAACATGGGTGATTGTTCTTCCTTCAAAAGTAATTTTCCTACAATGTTCGTACTACTTTGCACTGTTAACTTGCATTTTATTGCCATGTAATTTACATATAGTACCATGCAGAATTCTGAAGTATACAGTTTGAACAGTTTTGATAAGTGCATAAATCTATATAGCCCATATTTCCCTCTAGACCAGTGGTTCTCAACCTTCCTGATTCTGCAACCATTTAATAGTCCCTCATGTTGAGGTGACCCCCCCAACCATGAAATTATTTTTGTTGCTACTTCATACCTATCATTTTTCTACAGTTATGGATCATAATGTAAATAAATGTTTTCCAATGGTCTTAGGTGACCCCTGTGAAAGGTCTCAGCAGTATGTTAGCCTAGAGGGTCATGACCCACAGGTTGAGAACTGCTGCTCTAATATAAAACATTTCCTTCTCCCCAGAAAGTTCTTACAGGTCCTTTTTTATAGTCCATTTCCTCAGAAACAATCGCTGTTCTTATTTCTATCACAGTGATCAACACTGGAATCATATTTTTATACTCAGATGTCATTTTTTAAATATAAGGCCAAATACAAATATTTGTTGACTTTATTCCATGCTCTACTATCCCAGTAGAATACTATATGGAAAACTCCCCTGTATTTCATGCCCAGAAAGATAATTTGCACCAATGGCACTGGGAGGAGAGAGAGATACAAATAAGTGGAGAAAAGTGATCTTAATCAAAAGTTCAAAGTTTAGGGCCAGCAGGCAGAGAGCCCTGCCTTAAAGGGACCTTTCAAAACAGATTTGTGAATGCTACCAGCCCCACACCACTGTCTATCACTCACTGCTCCTCACCCAGGGACTCTGGCCTCCGAGTGGAGATCTGCAGGTTCTCAGCAGGGATGGGCACAAGTCTCAGCAGTACGTTAGCCAGCTGCTTCCCAAGGTGGCCACATCCAATGATGCCCACCTTTAACTTCTCATCCTCAGCAGCAGCGGCGTCAAATGATACAGCCCGAGGCTGTATTTTTCGACGACACTGATGTAATAGTTCTCTGGAGAATGAATAAACACACACAGACACATGTACAAGCTGTCGTTTTCCCCGGGAGTCTCCAAGGTTGATAACATGGAAGCCTAACATAATTCTTCAGAAGCAAGACATTTCAATTGGAGGCCATTTTTACAGCCTTACTGGGGAATAAAACCTTCATCCTGAAAAAACAAAACAAAACAAAACAAAACAAAAACACACCACTTTTCCAAGGGATGGAAACTGGATGAATATAATTATTAACCAAAATATTATTTGTTTTATTTTCCTGGGTCCATGAACATGAGGTCATATTTTATTAACTTTGAATATCACTATGAGTTTTATACATTGTATGGTGATGTGTAGCACACTGTGAACCAATTCTTTTAACTTTATGGTCTATTTTCTGGGCAGACAGCTGTCAAAGAGAATGTATCATCACCATCTTAAGCACACAGAATGTTTGAATCTAAGCATGTTGCTATGCAACCAAAATCTAGACCCTTTGCATCCTTGCAAAACAGAAACTTTATATTCCTGAACAGCTCACTTCCTGTCCCCACATCTGGAAATTACCATTTTACTTGTTGTTTGTTCTCTGGCCAGAAAAAAAAAAAAACCCAAACCTTTAACTATATACCATGGAAGCAGAATCCTGAAGCATTATTATGTTGCACTTAGGATCATGTCTTCAAGCCTCATCTAATTCATAGCTTATAAAATTTCCTTCTTGAGGCTGAACAGTAATATTTCACCATATGTATATATGTGATTTGTTTTGTTTTGGAAAGAGTCTCATGTAGCCCAGGCTAGACTTAAATCCCTGATTTCCCTGCTTCTGCTTTCTGAGTGCAGAGATGACAGGTGTGAGCCTCCACTCTTGACATATAGAACATAGTTTGTTTATCCATTATATACTTCATTATATTGTCTTGTTACTATGATGACTAACAAAAGTGTCTTAAAGAGTTGTCCTAGCTATTTTTCTATTGCTATGGTAAAATGCCATGACCAAGGCAACTTATATAAAAGAAAGGATTTAGTTTGGGGCTCATGGTTCCAGAGAGTCTGAATACATGGCCATCATGGTGAGGAACATGGGAACAGTAGAAGAGCAGACACTGGATCAGTATCTGAGAGCTTACATGCTGATCCACAGGTAAGAGGCAGAGAGCTAACTAGGACTAGCTTGAGTCTTTTGAAACCTCAGAGCCCACTCCGGGCTGACACGTTTCCTCCAACAAGGCCACACCTCCTTATCCTTCTCAAACAGTTCCATCGCCTGGAGACCCACATATCAAACATAGGAGCTTATGGGGACTCTTCTCATTCAAACCACAAGGGCTTATTTTCTTCTCATAGCTGGGGGTAAAGTTCATCATAGTGAAGAACTTATGGTGGCAGGAGTTTGTTTGCAGAGAAGGTCACATTGTATCTACGGTAAGTAATCAGTGATGAATGCTGGAACTAAGTTCACTGCCTCCTTTTTATTCAATCTAGGACCCAGTCCATGGAAATACTGCTACTCAGTTGAGTCTTTCCACCAAAGTTGACCTGATCTAGATACTCTAGATGATTCTTGGTCCTGTTTGAGTTGACAACATTAACCATCACACCCATTCATCATCAGTGGACGTTTAAATTGATTCCACATTATGGATACCTGAAATGAGGCTGTGATGAACATGGGCAAATGAATATCTCTGTGACTTCTTAGGGTGTATACTCAGAAATGGGGTTGCTTGATATTATGCAATTTTATGTTTTACTTTCAAGGTAACTACATGTCTTATACCCTTACCAACATTGGACAAATGGTCCAATTCCTCTACATCCTCACCAAAATGCGTTCATTTATGGTTGTTTCAATATGGTTGTTCTAACAGGTATGAAGGAATATTGTATTATAGTTGTGATTTACATTTTCCTAAGCATCTTTTTGTTTATCTGTTGGATTTCTATACATTCTTTGAAGAGATCTTAGGTTAAAAATCAGGTTGTTGAGTTTATTGCTGAGTTGCAGGAGGTCTTTATACTAGACTTTTATTTTGTTTATTTAATTTATTTTTTCAAGACATGGTTCCTGTGTGTACCCTTGACTGTCCTGGAAATTGCTCTATACACCAGGCTGGCCTCAAACTCACAGAGATCCACCTGCCTCTGTCTCCCAAGTGGGAATTTTTGATGTTTTTCTGTCGGCTTAGTGGCTGCACATGAATCTATTGATATTTTAACTACTGTCTGTGGCCCCACAGTCCCTCAGTCAGTGACCTGATGGCCACTCAGGCCATTGCCTGCGGCCAGAATATGTGGGTTTAAACTAAGTCTCTATCGTTCTATTTACTAACAAAGACCACGAAGTTAGATGAAGGGATGAAAACCTGCTAGATCATAGAACCTGCTAGATCCCCAAACCAAAAGAAGCTCTGAGCTTTAGACTCACCCTTTCCTTCCTTTTCATCTCCTCTCTCCAAATTTCTCACTTCTCTAGCCACTGGCTCTGCCCACTTCAAGGTTAAGTTTATTAACAGTCTCGGAGTGTCACTGGGCAATCAAATATCCCACAATTTTTACTTTTTAAAGGAAGGGTCTCAAGTAGTCTAGGCTGGCCTTGAACTTGTATGTAGCTGAAGATGAACTTGAACATCTGATTCTCCTGAGACCGGGATGACACATCTGGTGTATGCAATGCTAGAGATTAAACCTATGCATTCTGCATGCTGGGCAAGCACTCTACCAACTGAGCTACCTCCCCAGGCATATGACGGATATTTACACCTCATCAGATACATGCTTTTCAAACATTTTCTCCCTTTCTGGCTGTCAGCTCCTTTGCAGATGTTTTTTCTCTGTTTCTTTGATATATTGATGCCTTTAAGTTTGAAACAGTCCTATTTGTCTATTTTTACTTCCATTGCCCGTGTTTTTGTAGCCTCATGTCTATTGACTCATGCCTTTACTACTGAGATCCACCCCAAGATGGCCTGCACTGTTGTTAAAGTCTTTTTCAGCTTGTTTATTGTTGGTGTACACAAATGCAGCTGGTTTCTTTTGTTTGTTTGTTTGTTTATGTTTTTTTTTTTTTTTTTTTTTTTTTTTTTTTGAGACAGGTGTAGCCTTGGCTGTCCTGGAACTCATTCTGTAGACCAGGCTAGCCTTGAATTTACAGAGATCCTTCTGCCTCTGCCTCCAGAATGCTGGGATTAAAGGTGTGCGCCACCACTGACAGGAGGTTTTTGTGGCATTTTAATATGGAGTTACCCCATGAAGTTTTTTTATGTGTTTGTTGACTTTCGTCAACTACTTTTCTGCACTGACTGAAATCATGTGACTTTGATCTTTCTTTGGTAAATGTGGTTTTGCAAAGGGTTTTTGCAAAGGCGAACCACTCTTGAAAGGAAAAGTATCAGCTCAGCACCCCCCAAAGGCAAGTTCTCAGCACAAAGGAGATTTATTTGTCCCAGAGGGACAGAGAACAGGGACTAAAAGACAAAGACAGGAGACAGAGGATGGGGGAGAAGGGGAAAGGGACAAAGGAAACGGGCAGGGATATTTGTCCCAGAGGGACAAAGGGCTGCCTCTGCATAGAGAGGAGACAGATGAGGCTCACAAGCAAATACCAATTTATAAAGGCAAAGTGGGAATGCGCATGTCAGGATGGGATGCTTAATTTTAATTGGGAATGTTAATTAGGTGAGCCAAAGGTGACTTGTGATTTTTGGATTCAATACTACAATAGCTGATACTTTGTAGTCAGCCTCAGGAGGAGGAAGAGAACAAATGAGGGAACAGACCTTGGTGGCTAGCTTCAGGAATATGAGCTAATGGTTTTTAGCAAGGCAGAGGGGATGGGAGAGATGGGCAAGGCTTGCCAGAGCTATGCCCACCACAATGGAGCTGGCCAGAGTCTCCTCAACAGTCCTTGCCATCTAAATAGAAAGAAAGAGACTTCACCTCCCTGGTGTTCTCTCGGATTTTTTGCTTTGTCTTTTGCTTTGTTTTGAGAAAGGGTTTCTCTGTGGCAGCTCTGACTATTTTGCATCTCAATCTGTAGACAAGGCTGGCCTTGAACTCAGAGACCTGCTTGCCTCTGCCTCCAAAGTGCTGGGAATAAAGGCATACACCATCACTGCTCAACTTCTCCTAGATTTTTAAAATCACTGCTAACAACAAAGCCCCTAGCATGTGTAGTTCCCCTGGGGACTGGTACAATCTTCCACTTGCTGTTGGTACTCAACAAATAAGGGCAAATTTAAAGGAAATTGGACACATTGTGTAAGTACTGTGGCCTCAAATCACTAATATGTATTGTATCAGGGCTCTCTCTAAAGGAACAGAACTGATAGTGCGTGTGCATGTGATGGGAGATGTCATTCTGTATATGTTTCTCATACTGGTTAATAATAAAGCACTGTTGGCCAATAGGAAAGGAAGATAGGAGGGACTAGGAGACAAGGAGGAAATAGGAAGTAGGAAGGAGGAGTCAAGATGGAGAGTCTGAAGAAAGCAGTATGCCGCTGGCTCCCAGGTAAGAGAAATACATAGATCAGCAGAAATGGGTTAATAATTAAGGCAGAGCTAGCCGATAAGAAACAAGTAACCGGGCCAACATGCATGTGTGTGTGTGCGTGCGTGCGTGCGTGCGTGCGTGTGTGTGTGTGTGTGTGTGTGTGTGTGTGTGTGTGTGTGTTTTATTAGACGAGCCTACAGAATGTGGTCTTGGTACTCCAACAATGGCTGTCTCACAATAGAAAGGCAGAAAATGTAATATCTGTTAAGTCCCATGAGGCTAGATATCCCCACAGTCCAAATCTGGCACTGGAGAAGGATTCCTGCAGAGCCACTGGTCTTCAGTCTACACTGGAATCCTGAAGGAGTTGGATTTATATGACCACAGCACAAGGGCAAACTTTGGAGTGTGAGTAAGGACAAGCAAACAAAAAGCAAGTTTCCTTCTTCCCGGCCCTTTTCTGGCACTGCCACCAGGTGTGGCCCAGATGTAAGGCGGTCTTCCTGCTTCAAATCATGGATTAAGATAATCCCTCACAGGAGTGCCCAGCAACTAGGATTCCAGCTACTTCCAGATACAGTCAGGCTGACAACCAAGATTAGGCATAACTTATGTGTTGTAGGTAATGGAAAGGACAAGCTGGGAGACAGTAGTACGCCCAGGGAAAAATTACATGATTAAATATCATAAAATGTGGGGCAACTTTAATCTCACTGGGGAAGCAGAGACAAATGGATCTCTGTGACTTGGAGGCCAGCCTGATCTAACGAGTGAGTTCCAGGACAGCCAGGGTGGTTACACAGAGAAACCCTGTCTCAACCACGCCCCCCACTCCAAAAGGTGAAACAAGTCAATTTATTCCTACTAAACATCCCATATTCTCCTCTCATCAGCATTTGAGACCATAAAGGACAGCACACCAATGACTTGAAGTGTGGTCCTCACAAATGAGGTTGCTCACCCTTTCACTTTCTTAAGTATTTCCTCTTCCAAATGAATCTTTGCTTGCTAGTCTTCTGTCTACATCTATAAATTATTTCATCGAGAACAAAGACCTAGGTCAAAGAAACCTTTCTTCAGTCAACCTTCCTTATGTCAATTACACTGACTGAGTTTTGCATGTTGAAACATCCTTGCATTAGACCACGGCCCAGCTAACCATAGCAACACTTAAAAATGAAGACATGTAATTGGGGCTGGCTTACAGTTTGGAGGTTTAATTCATTACCACACGGCGGGAAGTAGGCAGACACAGTGCTGGAGAGGTAGCTGAGAGTTCTACATCTAGACTGGCAGACATCAGGAAGAGACTGCCACACTGGGCCTGGCTTGAGCATCTGAGACTCTCAAAGCCCGCCCCCTAGTGACTGCACTTTCTCCAACAAAGCCACACCTACTCCCACAAGGCCACCTAATAGTGCCACCCCCTATGGACCTCTGGGGGGGGTATTTTTATTCAAAACACTGCACTGTGTTTGCCTCTTGAAAGCTGAGATAATGGGCAGGCTGCCAGGAATAGCTAGCATTTCACATTTACCTGGGTGATGGGAATCTGAATGCATATTCTCCACTTTGCCCAGCACCATTTTACCTGCTAAATCACCTCCTTGGTCCAAGATCCTTAATTCCCCAAGTTTAAAACTATCTAGTCCTGAGACTGTCTTGGTTAGGAGGTTTTGATTTCCAATTCAATCTCCTTAGTGATTAAAGGTCTTCATATTTTTTGGCATCATGATTAGTCTTCACAGGTTCTAAGATGTCCCGTTGCTTGGATGTTACCCAGTTTCTTGACAATCCTTTCCTGTGTCATCAGCTGTCACAGCTCCTCTTTTATATCTGATTGTTTATTGATTCCTTTTTCCTTCGTTTATATAAGGATCTGTCAGTTTTGTTGATGTTTTTAAAAACCCAGTTTTTTAGTGCAGCTTTTCCCTCGAAAGCTGATCTATCCTACATTTCATTTTTCTATGTTTAACTTCCTTCAGTTTGCTAACTCGGGGCTTACATTTCTCTGGTTCCTAGAGATGTACTATGTGTCCTCTCCCAAACTCACTGAAACTCATCTGTCTCTGTGATGATGCTGGGAGACAGAACTGATCCATGAAGCCTCTGCTCTTGCAAATGGGGTAAAGGCATTGCATAGGACTGGGTTACTGTGGGATTTGCTTTCAGTGATTGGCCTGTAGCTCACATTATTCCTCTTTCCAGGAATTTATATGGTCTGAACAGAAAATGAACTAAGATGACCTGACATCTCTTTCTTTTTTTCCCTTTTTTGTAGATAGGGTTGCTTTTTTGAGACAAGGTTTCTCTGTGTAGCCCTGTAGACCAGGCTGGCCTCAAACTCAAGAGATCTGCATGCCTCTGCATCTTGGGTGCTGGCATTAAAAGTGTGTTACCATGTCCAGCCTGCATTCTAGTATATTTTTAAGAATAACTCTAATAATCCAGTGTTAAGGCTTATTTTATGATCCTATGTAATCAACCTATCCCTGAGGTGTTCCCAGGTATACAGAGGAGTGTTTTCTGAAATCTCAGCTCTCAGAAATCGAGAGCAGGAAGATTCAAAGCTGGCTGTGGGGTGAGACCCTGTCACAAAGCAAAACAAAGTAGAACACAGAAAAATTACATGAAAAGCTCCTGCTTCGGAGTGTAGTGTTCTGCTTTGTCTGTGCTGTCCCCATCAGTCCCCTGCATGCCTCTGTCTGCTGTTTCCTCTTTGATCTTCTGTCTGGATGCTACACCAATGGCTGTAAATGAGGTGCTGAAATATCTCATCCTGAATATCTTTTAGTATAGGAGTATTTGCTTCACATAACTGGATGTTCTGATGTTAGGGCACACATCTTCACGGAAGATGATCTTTTATCATCATAACAATTCCATTCTTAGTTCCTTGCGAGTTTTTGATTTAAAATCTTATCTGATATATCAGTGTTTGCTTCAACATGATGGAAGGTACACTGTGCATGAGTTGACTCCCCCCCATTTCAATATTATTTATACTTGACAATTTGACTATAATGTTTCTCTTCACTTTCCTTTTTTCTTTTTATTCTTACAATTCTTTCAAATAACCTATCTTTGAGCTCACTGACTCCATCTTCTTGGTCATTCCCAATGCTGAATCCCTCTGCTGCACTCTTTCATTTCAGTTACTGTTTTCAAGAACCTGGTTGGTTAATGGTTCCTCTTTGTCAATTTCCTTACTAGTTCATGTAGCATTTTTCCTGATTTCCTTCCATTGCTCCTGTCTCAGAAGAAAGAACTGCCTCTATTTGAAGCAACAGACAAGGAATGACGGGTCATTAGTGCTGTGGAAGGCAAGCTGGTAGTATGGGTGAGTACATTCGTGACTAAATGAATGGGATAAATCAGCCACCCTCTGACTAGAAATCACAACGGATCCAAGCTTTACTATGTAAACACCAAACATCTTTGAATGAATTCTGCTAGTTATTCCAGACCAGAAGTGATGGAATGTGGATTGAAGGTTAGAAAAACAATTTCCTTGCCAAATTTAGCCTTCAATATAAAAAGTGCAAGTCCCTTGGGTTCCCAGCCCTGATGCTTGTCTTTCTTTTTCAACTAGCTTACCTCAAAGTACTGAAGAGTTTGCAAAAGAAGACGGCATGGGCACAGCCTTTGATCATCAGTCCCCGATAACGTCCCTGCAAATACAGCCAGTAACGCTCTTCCTCTGGAACCCCTTCCTCAAACTTGAGGGACTCAAGGTCATCTAGTATATTCATTTTCAAACCACCATCTCCTGCAGTGACAGATACCAATCAACATAACTCCCCACTCCAGAGAACGGGTTCAGGCACAGGGCTCAATTATGATGGTACGTGTAGCTAGGTCATGATTCCTCATGGCAATAGGCTTCAGCACCACTGTCCTTTCAGATTCTGAACTTGGAGGTCCTATCTCTATTTGAGTGGGACCATTGAGGCTTCATAATAACTAAGGGTCATGAATCCTGGATTCATGAAACCTGAGAAGGAATTCACAGTAATATTTATCCATATTGGCTGCAGGTGCATTTTTCAGTGTTACCACAGCATAGCTTTTAGAGGTGTTCTTAGCTGGGAGCTTTCCCCTTCAATTCCATGGGCTTTGGAAATCATTGCTGATCATACAGAACCTGATTTCAAAAAACAAACAAAAAACAAAAACAAAAAAAAAAAAAAAAAAACAAAAACAAAAAAAAACTCTACCTTGAGTAAACTCTGTGTTCCCTGTGGGGCAGAAAAGAGCCCAAACTGGGTATCACTGATTCCTTAGCTAGAGCATGGACACTTCAGTCTTAGAAAATAAACCTACACATACCCAAATCCATCTACATACATCTCTCACCAACCAACAGAGATGCCTTCTACCCCTCAGGACTGCTGGTCTGGGTGAAGAGAGCCACCCAAGAGAATCATCTTTATGACTCCTTAGCAACCAGTTCATTCTATCTTCTGCTCTTAAAGGAGGATGACATCTACAAACTTTCCTGGCCTGAATGTGAGGACACAGTTCCTTTCACTATTTGTAGGAATGTTGTCCCAGGCCAAGGTGGAACTTAATTTTCCTAACAGAAGATTCTGGATTTCCAATCCCCACCCCCTACCCCCCTCCTTCTGAGACAGGGTTTCTCTGTGTAGCTCTGGAGTCTGTCCTAGAATTCTCTCTGTAGACCAGACTGGCCTTGAACTCACAGAGACCCACCTCCCTCTGCTTCCCAAGTGCTGGGCTTAAAGGTGTGCAATGCCTGGCTCTATTTTTTTCTTACCGATTAGAGAATCATATAGATTTTAGCACTGCTTTAAAAAGTGAATGACAGAATCCGTGAGATTTAAGTGGGTAAATGTGCTTACCATGCTCAAGGCTGGTGATCTGGGTTCAATTCCCAAAACCTACTTGAAGGTGGAAAGAAATTGTGTTTCTCTCTCTCTCTCTCTCTCTCTCTCTCTCTCTCTCTCTCTCTCTCTCTCTCTCTCTTACACACACACACACACACACACACCCAAACCAGCAAAAAAACAGATAGTTAATGATTTTCCCCCAGTACCTGGCATTGAACTAGGACCTGTGCAAGCTGGACAATACCCCCAGTCCCTTTCTGAGTCAGTGACTCATTAAGTATGATCCCTGATTCAGTGTACTGTGAAGCTGAGACTCCAGGGATGTACCATAGTACTCTGTAAAGGAAATGAGAGCTGCTTAGGACTGAACCCAGAGCCCCATGTCTGCTGGGCAAGCAACCATGCTGCTATTCTAGCCTTAGCACTACCCTGTCTTTTTGCATTCAATAACCAATCTTTCACCCATTGAGGCTGAAGTCAGAGATTAAAACCTCATTTGATTAAAAACAAAATGCAGGTGAATTTCAGGTAATATAAAATTACTCATCCTGAAATGGACAATTTAGCATTATATTCAGAGTGTTGTGTGATTACCTCTATTTCAAACACATTTCTATACCCCACAAAAAGAAATCTTACTTGCATAAGTAATTACTCCCAATTCCTTCCTACTTCCATCCTCCTGGAGTTACCACCAATCTGCTTCCAACATGATTTACATATTTCAGGTAATTCATAAAAAATAATTGTATCATTTGTCGCTTTTTATGCTTGGCTTCTCCAATCCCTCTTACAAAAATAGTAGATGTTACATCCTACTCTTGCAATTGATGCTTCCTGTCCCAAAGGAAAGAGGAACTCAGAACCTGGCAGATCTGCATGACCAATACAGCACCCTGCAGACATGAATTCTAGGCATTTATTTGTACGTTCTCCAAAACAGGGTTACAGCTTCATGACATAGCAACTTGGCTAAACTGAAATGCTCCCAGAATCCATTCCTTTTGTGTTTCTGGATAGAGAGAACCACAAGGAATGTTTTCGTGAAGAATCTCGAATGTGGAAATGAGATGCAACCAGTTCCTGTTCCAGCTTGCAAGGACATATCATTACTTCTCTGGCTGGCAGGCTTGGTGTAGTTCAGCAGGTAGACCCGAAACTGCTCCACCTGCTCCTGGATCCTCATTTAGCTGCTCACTCCTGGGCCAGGTCATCTTCAACTGGGACAAAAACCACCTGCTCCTGCAGGCTCTTACTCTACCAAGTTTGGAGCACATATCCGGCTCGCATCCTACTCTGGAACTGTGCTGGCTTGTTTCACATCAACTTGACACAAGCCAGAGTTATCTTAAAGGAGGGAACCTCAATAGAGAAAAGCCTCCCTAAAATCATGCTGCAGGCAAGCCTGAAGGCATTTCCTTAATTAGTGATTAACCAGGGAGAGCTGGTGATCCTGCCTACTACAGGAAAGCCGCTGAGCAAGCCAGAAGGCAGCCGCACCCTCCATGGCCTCTGCATCAGCTCCTGACTCCAGGTTCCTGCCCTGCTTGAGTTCCTGTCCTGATTTCCGTGAGGAACAGTGATATGAAAGTGTGAGCCAAATAAACGTTCTCCTCCCCCAGTTACTCTGATCACGGTGTTTCATCACAGCTAGGACAGTAACTCTTGGTTCTAGCTTAGCCCTCCTGTCCCTCACTTTATAGCCGTCTTCCCTCCCTCACTGCTTTCCCTATGAAATTCAAACTCTTATCACCAGACACAAAAGTAACCACTTTATACAGACTGTTAGCCATCATCCTAACCTGGGCCAAATCCCTGTAATGAAGTATGTGGTGAGGTTGGATAGATATATCTTTATCTAGTGGTTCTGCTTCTCTACTGATGTCTAATATACTAACAAATCAAACCCACTTCTTCGAGATTAAAAAAAGATTCTCAGGAAAGTAACAAAGTATGAGACTACTTGGAATTGTAGATGACTGCAAAATGCAGAAGATGGGATCTGAGTCTTTAAGCAGATCTTTTTATTTAACATTTGTCTGCATGAATGTGTGTGAGTGCAAACATGTGAAGGTCAAAAGACAACTTATCGGAGTCAGTTCTCACAAACCATGTGGGACCTAAAGATCAAATGTAGCTCTTCAGACCTCATGGCAGCACTTACCCACTGAGCCATCTCTCCAGCCCCAAAGCAGATGCAATTAACATGGCTGTTACTAATGTTTTAAGCAGGGTAATTCTTTGCTGTGGGAGGCTTTTCTGCCCATAACAGGATATTTATCAACATACCCCTAAGTATGGCAATAAAAAGAGCCTCCAGACATCACGAAATGTTTCCTGCAGGCCCAAACTGCCTCTGGCTAAGAAGCACACTGTCTTTAGACCACAGCAAGCTGTGTGCTGTGTGCGTTACCTATTTTCCTACCACTTCACCGGTGCACTTGTCACCAGTGTAGGATGCCACGGTCACAGACTACGACGCTGTTTTCTACAGATGAAGATGAGCCCCCACAACAAGGGACTCCCTGGCCCCGGTTTGTCAGCAGCAGAGCTGACAGGAGTCATGCCTTCTGTCTCTTGGACTAGTGCTATTAACTACAGACTCCTGTCACACTATGAGATGTGCTGACAGTCACAGATGCAGGCAAGTCACACCACGCACTAAGCCACCAGATGGGGAAGAGAAGCACCAAGGCTGCAAGTTTTATTAGAGTGTGGGCATGTCAGGGAAATCCAGGTCAGGGAGGCACAGGGCAGAATCCAACACTGCTGAGGTCCCCAGCAGGCTAAGTGAGGAACAAAACCTCTTTCGAGGTATCTGAGGGAAGTGCTGCCACATTAGCCTAGGTGATACTTGTGGCTGCTTCTGGTGAAATGATTTTTGCCTAAAACAAGAGTGCCCCTGCACTGGCGAATCTGGATTCCACATAGGACTGTATCTGAGACCGAAGGAGGGAACAGGGACAAGGTGAGGCAGATGGTGCACCACCCAGACAGTGTGCAGGTGACAGCAGGATCCTAAGCTATGAACAAAAAGTTGACGGGGACAGCAGGTGGATACTGGCTGAAGATACACAATGTCTAGGAAGCATCTGTTGTAAGATGTGTGACCCCGTGTGAGGATCTGAGTCTGGTTCCCAGCAAGTCCTGAGCAATCCTGGTATCCCTTCCTGCGGCCCTTTGGAGCAGAAATGCCACTGTGCAACACCAGGTCCTGGGTCATAATGGCTGAAGGAATGTCACGACCACCCTGTGACACCTGTAGCTTAGTCCATGTCCTTCTGGGGCAGTCACTTCTCTGACCACGACATCTTACCCTGGATGGGCTCTATCTTTCCTCAGCCCCGAGTGCAGAGCAACTTTACCATGAGGCAAAGCCTTGGATACTGGCCTTCGGATAATGTCCCTGGGACAGATCAGCCTGAAGATTATGTGCTCAGATGCTGGTTTCTGTCACCAAAGCAGCAGGCACTGCCTGTGAATGACAGGCTTGCGTGGTTGAATGCTGTGACTCTCCCAAGAAGAGAGCTCTCTATTTTCATAAGCAGAAGAGGAAGAAGTGAGGCAGGTTTCAGGGCAGCAAATGGTACTTAGTTCTTCCATCGAATTTGCTGTTCAAAAGCAAACAACAAAGGCATGATCAGTTTTCACACCACTACAATGAAAGAGAGGGAATGAAAACAAGGATTGAATTGGGGGCTGTTGAGTTTTGTTGTTTGGGACAGGGTATCTCTATGTATCCCAGTCTAGCCTGGAACTTAGGTGTAGATCCAAGGCTGACATCAGATTCCTGATTTCCCTGCCTTAGCCTCCCAAGGGTCAGGATTGTAGACATGTACCAACAAAGACTGTTTTTAACTCTCTTATGCACATGTGTGTTAAAGTCAGAGGTCAAGCTTGGGTATCATTCCTCAGATGCTATCCATCTTGTTTTTTGAGACAGGATCTCTCACTAGCCTGCAACTTGTCAATTAGGTTAGGCTAGCTGGCCGACCAGTGAGCCCCAGGGACCCTCCTGGCTGTGCTCCCCTAGTGCTGGGATTACAAGCACATGCCCCATCATGCCTAGCCTCTATGTGGGTGCTGAGGACTGTACTCAGATCCCTGTGTATGCACGGCAAACACTTTACTAATGAAATGATCTTCCTAGACCCAAGAAGATTTTTCCTTTTAGTATGTGGGAGTTCATTTATTCAGAGATAGATTAAATACCTGTTGTGTATTTTACAGACTTCGGTTTAGAGCATTAATCTGGCTCAGCCCTCCTTAGAGCAGAGATTCACTAATGACCAAGCATAAATGTCAAAATTGCTAATATGAAAAGCTCAGTATTTCATACTGTGAGAGATAACCAGCTGGACTTCCCAAGTAACTAATTCTATTTCATTCCTTTTGGCACTCACAGCATCACAGCTAAGCTTTACACAGAGGTCTTCAGGTTCCTCTCCTATCCTTTCATGTCTCAAGAGTGACTTCTGCTGTGCAAAACAGGGCTTTAGCTACTTCAGGCCACAGGCCAGTTTTGTATCCACATGGCTCGGCTAAATGGACCC